TAAGCCAATCCTGGGTCGAGATCGAACGACGTCGAACACCTCAGCAGCATCCCGATCACAAACACCAGAGAGGAAACCCATGCAGCCAGGTATGATGCAAACCGGAATCCCTGAAGAGGAGGTACCGACATCTGCGGGAAAGAAGAGACGCGCACCAGATTATGATGACAGGGACACCGTTCCACCCGAGGGCCGCTATACGAGCGACTCGGACATCCAGGCGGCCACCACGCCACGTCTCCGGAAAACATTGCACTCAAGCCGATCCGGATTTACGCCAGTACGCTCTGCCAGAAACATAGTCAGTCTGCCTTCACCAGGAAGACGAGCCACAACTACTATCTCAGACGTTACGAACAGTCCTCGGTCTACATCCGACCCTCAAACCTCTAGAAATCCGTCTAAACGGACCTGGTTAGGGAAGATCAGAGGCGGAGTGCCGCAATCCAATAATCCGGGTGGCAGAGTTGTATCCTCGCGAGTGAACGTGTTTGAGAAGATGCCAAATATTCCGAGATCGTCATGATGGACTCTGTTTCTTAGCGTTGTAGCATCTATCTTTACCTACTTTTGTATTTCTAGTCAGTCAGTCAGCATCCATACACTCCATCAAAGCGTGGTCACAAGCGCTCTAGCTAAGGGCTATTATGTAGAAGTAAGGAGGATTATTCGATCCAAGTTCCTCTCACACCGACAGCGTGAGGAACTTGAATCAGAAACTTGAAGTAGTACCATATTAAGCGCACTTGGAAACTTCACGGTAGTTATGAGCAGTACCGTTTAATACTTCGTCTCTAACCATCACTGCAGCACCTAGTTCGCTTGCCGCTGGCTAATCTCGGAGCAGGTTGATTGTGATAATTCATGATCATAGAACAAGGTTAACTTGAAAGTGTCCCGACGCCGAGGAAGTCACGCCGTCAGTCATGTTCGGAGAGAGACACGTTCTTGCAGATCTTTCGACTGGTCAAAGAGACCCTGACGATTGGGAGATTGGCAGGCTACGGACCGTTGATTATTTATTGGACACAAGAGTGCTGACTTACGAGCCCACATTGAGCCTTTTGGCTGTCGGTGAGATCTCTCAACTTGAGTTAGAGTGTTTGAACTGTGACTCAGGCACCACTCTCTTTTTGCTTCCAGGCACGGCAAGCGGTCTGATTTGCGTGGTGGGCGGTCCTGGTGTAGAGAGTTCAGTGCAGACGCCAGAAGGTTCTCCGGTCAAGATCTTGCAGCTTGCCGCCTCCACGGACAAACTCCTCTCTGTCGGTAAGCTGTTCGCCAGTACGTCAACCTCTCTTAATTGCTCAAGCTCCATACCACTAGATGAGCGCGATCGACTTCATATCTGGAACTTGAAAGATTTGACCGAACCGCCGAAGTCGACGAGATTTGACCATGCTATCAAGTACGCAAGTGATCAATTGCTGTAATAATGAGGTCTGCTGACCCACAGCATCTTTCGGAACACAAGTGCTGTTATGTTATCACCTTCGCATACCCATGTGGGCACTGAAACTCGAGAGTTTCTTGAACATTTCTAAGATTACCCTTTCCAGATCTTTCTTGCCCTACAATCAGGGGAGATCAGAACATATGATCTTCTGTGTTTGAAGAAGTCGTCCTATGTCATCCCGAACTTATGGAATATGTTTCAGACTAAGATCGCGAGCAGCGTGGTAGATCCCTTGCATGCATTGCCTGGTTGGTCCGTGCAACAACACTGGCATGTTGCCGTCGAGGCTTGCTTACATTGGGCCTTAGCAACATACCTGTCGATTTAGTCGCACATCCGCGAGACCTCAACTTAATATTTGTAGCCTTCGGCGGTCAGTCATTTCTACGATCAAATACAAGTCCCTGAAACAATCTTAGGGGGAGTGGTACTGTACGACCTGGTGTGTATCTGAATTCACTGTCACTGTACTGTCGTGTCTGCTAAGAGTAACTGTTCATTCTCTTTTCAGTCTTCACGCAACATTCTACGGGCGTACGAACTAGTAATCCCTGCCGGTGCACCAGGAGGGGGAGGATATCACCAATCTGTGAGTCGGAGCTTTCCAACCACAGTCTATCGTAGACTCATACTCTCCAAGGAAGTGCTCACACATCGGTGGCCTTCCGTTACTTCTGTAGCTATTCACCCAGCTGGGCATTTCTTCGCCGTGGGTTATGCGGATGGTTGTATTGCCTTTTGGGCGGTGGAAGACGAAGATCAGCCCTTGATGGTGCGAACATCCACAGACTTGGATGTTAATGTCATAAACGGAGAGGAGCTCGAAAACTTTCTGCAAAACGGGGGTCCTTCGGAAGACAAGGGGACTGATTTGTCAGAACGTCAGCCAATCTATAGGGTCGCTTGGTGTGGCTTCCCGAACTCCTCAGATCCCCGAGGGGGAGCAACTGCTCTCGTCTTTTTGGGAGGCGACAGAAGTGACGACCCTTGCCGGTTAACTGTACACACGATGCCCGCTCTCAACTCTCCGGAACCTCCTGCTCCATCTGGTTCCAAAACTGGGCTCCATGCTTCTATCCGAAAGGCAATGCGACTTTCAGTGATTCCGTTAGAAACAACTTATTATCTATCATCGGGGCCTATTTATGACTTTGTTCTCTTTCCAAAGTCTAATCCGCATTTTTCTGGTTGCTGGGATCCTGTTGCCGTGCTTTTCCTCACTGGGGCCTCTGATTCACGGATCATTGAGGCTCGACAATTCCTGCCTCCGAACATTATGTCTTCGCTGCCGGGAACAGAGATCCAGAATAGCAGCGAACACAGCGATGTTATACATGACCTTTCTGCGACGCTCGAGGATATGGCACTTAGTGCAGAAGAACCTCTACCAATGCACGTTCCTTCAAAATTGTACAGCGGGCTTGGTGGGGTATTTTATGCACAGCTCCTGACTCTGCAGCGAAGTATGTATGATGTACTTGTGGGACAACAGCTCGTGCCTGGTGATGCGGATTTACCCATAGCCGGAGGGTCTGCATGGATAGACGACAAAAGACTCAGCGAGCTGAGGCTCTCCAGGGTACTGATCAATTGATTGCCCATAATTGTTGATTATTCACACTGTGCTTCAGAGCCATCCACGCCGAGTCCTTATCACCTGTCATCGCGACTTAACTGTTCGTTTCCACGACGCCAGCCCTCAGCTTCTCATCAGCTCCAGCACATCTCCCCTTCAGAAGAATTATCCTTTCACGATTCATGATCTCACCATAGATCTCAGCTGTCTACCACTTTCCAGTGCCTCAGAACTTGCCACTGTTCAATTAGCCCCTGAATCCTTGGAGTGTGTCGTGCTACTGAAATCAGGTGACCTGGTGGTATATCGATTGAATACCACACAAGTCACCCCTCCTATCGAAATAGAGGGAAACAAAGAGTTTATCCTGCTGGGTAATGTCTCTTTACGACCAGGGACGAGGTATCATCCCTTCTTGATGCTACCCCGCGGTAATATTTCCTTGACATGCTGCGCATTGTCGGACATAGGTATGCTCTCCTTCGAGCCCAGTGTTACATGAATTGCTTAACGCAAAACAGGTTTCGTTGGTGTTGGTTACATTGATGGTTCTGTCGCAGTGATCAATCTGCGTGGACCATCTCTCCTTAGACCACAGCGTCAGAAAAGGCAGTCTAAGCTTCTGGTCCGCAATCAAGATGCAGATCCTGTTGTCTCTCTGACATGGACCGTTTCTACCGTCAGCATGGGTATGCACTGGTATATACGATAAAACTCTATCTCACCCCGTGACTAGATGCACAGCTAGCTGTGCGGCTGATCGCCATTCATGAGTCTGGCAACACGCAGATCTTCAAGATCATCCGGGATCCCGAGTCTTCGCTGTATGATTTTGCACAAGATGTCACCAGGATCGAGGGCCTCCCAAATGTCATGCAAGGTGGTTCATTCGTGATCGATTCGCAGAAAGGTACTACTTGGCGTGCCGATCGATCACGTTTTGCCGCTTCTCTTCAGACTAGAGATAGCAATCCTGCACGTTGCCTCTGGGTGACAGCAAGTGCCAGGGGTGCTCGTTGTACGCTTGATATCTCAGGGGAGAGGATTTCCAAAGTAGAATGGAATAGCAAGAAAAACAAAGTTGGACACGTTCAAGTGATTGAGAAGAACAGTAAGTTCGCCGACTCGGAGCCTAGCAATCAAACTAGTGCTAACAACAAACCCAGACTCTCATGTGCTCGTAGCATTCAATGACAAACCAGAAGCTATGGTCTACTCTTTACCTTATCTTGAGCACCTGCATACATTCTCTCTTGCAAAAGTATGTGAAAAGTACGTACTTCCAAATTGCGTTTTGGCCGTGCTCTTGAGTGTTTATTCGCCAGTGTCGTGTCTGTGGACGAAACAGGAGATTTCATTGCCTCGAGGCGTCACGAGTCAGGCGTACTTGAACAGATCGTATTTGGCACACTTTTTCAGACCCGTCGTGTTTATGATCACCCAATCGTTGATCTGACAAGTTCCCGCCACGAAATCCCCCCTTACCCGCAGCCAGTGTCTGTTGGTCCCCCTTCGCTGCTGGGCACATGGTTCCGGTATGGGAAACCCATTATGACCGGAGAACAGCTCGATTCGCTACGTATGTTAAATCACTTGAACACCTTCAATTGTTGATCTGGAGCATCAATAGTTGCGGGCCCCGACAGACCTATACCACCACCAGATCCTGTGGAAACATTACAAGACACGACCAACAGTTATGGACCCGGTGTCATGAAGACGATGGAGAACGCTCGCAGTGGCGTCTATAATCGTCTAAACGATGCTCTTGCTGAAAGGGGGTGCGTACATGATCGATTGATCGTCCGACCACTTCTCCGATGTCAGTGCTAAATGAGAATCAAAGGGAGATGTTGGGAAATATTGAACAGCGGATTGATTCCCTACAACAAGGGAGCAAAGATATGGTGGCGCAGGTGAATATTCAGTTACTAGTTGTCATATCTGTCCGGGGTGCTTACCTCGATTAGGCTAAGAGACTTGCGACTGAGCAGAGCGCTAGACGTTGGTTCGGCTTCTGAGTTGATCAACAGGATACATGTCATACTCGCCAATGACACTCGAAATTTCGAGGTTCTCGATGTATACCATTATGTACATTAGTGTACTATAGGAAACTCCAGCCATGTAATCATATGCAGTATGGGACATGATATGAATGTAGTCTTCTAAATGCCAGCGTTGTTCACTGCTGGTTCTCTAGAGTGCGCGACGCCTTGATCAACTCCCTCATTTTTGAGTTTGGAAATAACTTTTCATCTGACCATCGGCCCTTGGCTGCCTCTACGGCGAAAAGCCCGAGGTCCTCGATCGGTGTATACATGGAGGGCAAGATAGTCTTCATGATGGGCGTCATGAGGCAATCCATAGCCCTTGCTGTTGATGAACGAATGTTATCTCGGTCTGATGGGTGATCTTTGGAGGGAAAGAAGTAAGCAGGTCGCATGACAGATGCTTTGACGTTGGAGGACGGAGGGAGATCAAAGAGAGCTTTTTCAGTCATGCCCTAGATGCGGCGTGAGCATTCCAATACTTGCGAGTACTAACGTATCAAGCAACAGGCGCATACCTTAATTCTCGCGAACTTGAGGTTGCTTTTTCCAGATGGATCTGCGCCCTCTCCTGAAATGAAAACGAATCTGAACGGCTCTCCCGTTTTGTCCTTCGTCCTTGCTTCTTGCAGGGAATTCACGAAGTGCATGGTGTAGTCGTATGTGATGCGCGTGTATTCTTCGTCTGACAGGCCTACCGAGCTCTTCCCCAGTGCCCAAACGCAGGCGTCGTGCTCTGCCAGACGAGCAGGAAGATCACTAGGGTAATCCAAGAAGTCTTTCAGAACTATGACTTCTGTCTTGTCGTTTTCGGGAATATCCATCCATGATGGGAGTGCTCTACGAGAGAGTACCGTGATCTTCGCGATGGTTGTATCTAATACTGCTTGACGAAAGATTTGGATACCAGCTGGCAGATAAGTAAGGATGTGTTAGGTTTGGGGCTTCATGTTCGCATAGAGACGGTAACATACCAGCACCAGTGACACCTGTTAGAACAAGCTTCATGATTGAACGCGGTTAAAGGTCGGTCAAAGGGTTGTCTTGAATGCTACTGCTGTGCTGGGGTTTAAGTATCCCTTCAGGTCATCGTAAGCGCTTACATGTTGGCAGAACACGCCGCGTAGTAGTGTGGGCTGACGTAGCCAGCCGGCTACTAGTAGGCCGCACACGCTGCACTTGACACGAGCCTGATATGCTAATCAGCGACCATAACTAAGTCATTCGGTTGTACACGTCAAGGTATGATAAGAAACCGGCATGACGCATTTAAAGTTCAATAAGTTACGCGGACAATTTTTGTACTAGTAACTTTTGCCGGAGACTACGCGGCGGCGGCAACAACATATGCTACAGTATGTACGACAGATTTACCGCGTTGGTTACGGACGCAAAGAACTTCTTCCTGTACTCGTCGATCATCCTGAGGTGGATGACTTCTCATGATCCCACCCTTCTGTATGATGCTTCAGCCTTCCTTCATTGCCGAGCTCGAAAGTCAAGAGAGAATTCATTGTCTGCAAAGAATGATAATACAATGATTGTGAATTACGAACCTTGGTAGGTGAGGACGAGAAAGCATCGCGGTAGTACGCTACATTCTGATTTATCAAGAGAGTACCTTGGGGAACCTGAGGAGGGTTCTCGAGGACGCGGAATTTGGGGTCTCCGTCTTCTCGAAGAGCTAGAAATGGGTTGTTAGCGGCAAGGTGCAAAATTGAATAGATGAAGCGGACAGCACACCTTTGGGAGACCGATGATGAACTGAGCCCGAATGGATTTTGGACCCCTTGCGATACCGCAAAAATAGGGTCTTCAGTGCACATTGAACGGACCTCCTTGATGGCTACCAGAGCCTTCCGTTCTCTGTGCTGGCAGTCCTTTCCTCAAGAGATTTGGTCTCTCAGGGGGTCAGATCAGACGCGTTCTTGGCAAAAGACATTATAGAAAATGCTTGAAGATAGTTAAACAGCGGGCGTGATGAAATAAGGGTAAGGCGAAGCAGCAGCATCAAGGAGGTTTATATACCTCCAAGCTGACAGTACTTATTGGCAGAAGCCACCGAAGATGTTTATGATTGTGACAAAATGAATGTTGCTGTGACAGTGACGTGTTATTATTACTACTACTGCCAGATACTGCACCACCATTGAGAATACCGCCAAGTACTACCAGTCATGGCAGATTATGAGTCTTTGCACAGGCAGTGCCGCACCCTGGAGTCTTTATTCGACACAAAGCTTACGTCGTACTCCCGCCTAGCATCAACAATAACAAAAAACCAGGACGACATCGAGGCGGGAGGTTCACGCGAACGCTGGAAGGACGTCGAAGGCGAAGTCGAGGACCTCCTGGAGAAGGTGGGACACACAGGCGCCCAGCACGCATACCAGTAGCTTACAATGTCATATCCTTAGCTACGAGAAACCAATGATGAATTACTCGCACTCTCAAACAACCCGGACACCCCGCCATCACAATCCATGTCTCGTGCAATCCAGAGACATAGTGAGGTTTATCAGGACTATGCCAAGGAGCTGCGCAGAACCAAGGTCTGTCCCGTTTTAATGTTATGTGAGCCTAGCTCTCATTATACCTTGCAGACAAATGTCCAGCATGCGCTTGACAAAGTAAACTTACTTTCGGGCGTTCGAAATGACATTGAGTAAGTTCTGTGTTCCATTTGCGGAATGTCCTAGTGATGACTCTCTTGTGACAGGGCATACAAATCTTCCGCGGCAGACTCACTACTGGCGGAAAGAGGGAGAATCGACAGCTCCCATTCGATGACAGACCAGATTCTCGAGTGAGTTTCATCCTCACTCGTTATTCTTCGCTGAATGCTCTGCCGTAGCCAAGCATATGAAACTCGGGCAGAATTCTCGCGTCAAAGCATGTCTTTGGCTAGTATAAACACGCGCATGACTGGTGTCATAAGTCAGTATTCTGCCCGCAGTCGTAATGACATATACTGACGATCAGCACAGGTACGATACCTGGCATCAACAATCTTCTTTCCATGATCAAGAGCCGACGGCGGAGAGACTCTATCATCCTTGGCATTCTTATTGGAGGATGCTTACTCCTGCTTATAAGCTACATGTCGCGGTGATATCATTTTCATTATTCATGGACCATTCAATAAAATTCTCTGTTTAATACATTGGCAGTTATATAATGAACTTACATACCAGTCAACCGCGGTCCAGTCTGAGCAGGTTAACATGACAAGATTATGATTGTGTCTGGTAAACACTTTCTGTTGCCGCTCCCCGGTCGTTCATTTGTTGATCTTGCTAAGCCCGACATGGTTTCCTTGCACGAATTCCTTCCAATTATTTTCCAAATGTCGGACAACTCCCTGCTGGCTTTCGTCAACGACCTCTTCCCAGGATGATTCAACTGGCCATCCTTTCACTTCAGCAACTATAAGCACCATGTCCCAAGTAAGCTGCACACAATCTTCGATCTTGTGGCAATCCGATTCAACAAGGATACGGCGCGAAGAACATGCAGCGATCAGCGCTCGGTGATTTGGAGACCGACTGTTGATAACTATTGAGAGAGACAAAAATACATTTGGGTGACGCTTCTGCAAAAGCCCATTTAGCTCAATACAGGCAAACGAGACGGTCAGGTCAGGTCACAGAGTGCATACCTCGATGGACAGCCACGTTTGCGGGCTAAGGCCACAGCTATGAATATCAATGCTTATTTTCATCCAATGCTCGCCATGCTTATCAGCCATGCGGTCTAAGAGTTCCACAGTAGCCATTGGCGATTTAACGCTGTGCATGCTGACGTTTCGGCCTAGCTCTGCTGCTAGGTCAAGCTGTGCTTCAAGGATAACTAACTGGTGCTCAAAGGGTACCGTGAAGGGCGTCAATTCTCCGGGTGACGAGAAGTAGTCGTAAGGCACCCGGAAAGCTCTGTCGATACCAACCTCTCCAAGCATTGCGCTTGGAAAAGCCATTAAATTCTGACGAACGTCTTCCAGGACGGTTCGTAGGGTCACTGGTTCAGGTAGATGAACAAGCAACTTTTGGAAGGCCTCCGGGTGCTCATCTGCATCCTTGAATATGTGCCTGTAATGATTTTCCTTTGATTCATACGGTGCCAGTGCGATCCAGTGCGAAAACCACGGATGGTAACCTAGCATCAAAATCAGAACACAGGATTGATCAACCGATTCATAGCTAACCAAAGGAAGGCACGACTTTGTCTGAGAATGCAGTAGCCAAGTCTCGCACTAATCCTTGGTCCGCCTGAAGAGTGGACATGGCACCGATAATGATGGGCAAGTTGTCCATTGACTTCACTGGAATCTCTGAGTCGGTAGGATGACAATGTACATCGATGACATGTCGCAGGACTGACGGGGGAGGGAGGGTGTCCCGATGAGAAATAGTATCAGAAATGTCGTGCTCGTAACACATATCGATTGCTCGGCGTCAGTCCAGCTGGGTTAGCAGGCTCAAGCTCGTAAGTAGTATTAGCCGCGGAGGTAGTATCTCGCTGAAGTGATCGACATGCACAAACAACTTCCATGCTTGGACTTCAATCATGTCTAAGTACCTTAATTTTGAGGAAACGCCCTAGATTATCTTTTTTCTCTAAAATCATGGCGCGTACACTGACACTCGATGTATCACCTCCAGTACATCGTTGGATGGACACTACTCTTCAAAGGGATGCTTTTAAAAAGACTATCCCTGTTCTTGCCGCCAGAGTTCCTGCTTCCAAAACTGGATCCTTGCTAAAGTCTGATGTCATGAAGAAGTATGTGACTTTGGTTGTCCAGAGATCATATCTAATATACTTCGAAGATCCCTCATGGATTTGCCAAAAGTACGCAGCGTTCTTCGGGACCCCCACGATGACCTCGAGAGGCTGGTATTGCTGAATGTATCTGAAGATGGTACCGTGTTGCATTTTTCGATCGAATGATACGTGGTTTTCTGATGCTCTATCCGTAAGCCAGCTGCTCTCTCGTCGGAGGTTCGCAATTTCTTGCAGGAACAGTCTGCTACGCTGGTTGTGCACAACCTAGACTTGACCTACGATTACTGGACAGCTGGTACGAGCCGCGTGGTTCCTCATGTCGATAATATTTATTTATGTCCAGATGAAATATTACATTCCATATTGCCTGAGGAGCTTTGCAAGGGTTCTCCATCAGGGTTTGCAATCACTGGCCACCTCGGTGAGCGTGATGGCATTCGCGTTTGGTCGTCACTGATAGGTCCTTCAGCTCACATGAATCTCAATAGAGAATATCTACCCTATAAACATATCATCGGTCAGATTGTTCTGGATGAAAGTATTGATTCCTCGAATTCTGAACTTCCGCTGATGCCATTTACCACAGAAAAATCCCATGATTAAAACAGTTGTCAATAAATTAGACAGTATTGATACAAAGTATCGGTTCTTCAAAATGGAATTGCTAGCGGGAGAACCTAATTATGTTGTTGAGCACGTAAGTCAAGTCTTTCTATAGAACGATGAGTGAGCTAAAAAAATCCTAGCATGAGTCTAATTGCCGATTCACTTTTGACTTCACCCGTGTTTATTGGAATTCACGGCTTCACACAGAGCATGATCGGCTTGTCCAACTCTTCCAACCAACCGACGTCATTGCAGATGTATTTGCTGGCGTGGGTCCTTTCGCAATTCCTGCTGCCAAGAAAGGGTGTGCAGTATTTGCGAACGATCTAAACCCTGAGAGTGCGAGGTACTTGAGCCAGAATATCGTTGACAATAAAGTGAGTGTTTCTTTCATTTGATATATACCTCGTTCTGAGATACGTTGTTCGGTAGGTCGCAAGTTTGGTCCGCGCTAGCTGCGAGGATGGTCGTGATTTCATTAAGAAGGTTATCAGCCGCGCGAGGGATAATCCTTTCCCCGCATACACCGGGCCGAAACTCAGCAAGATGCAAGAAAAGGAGGAGAAACGCAGGTTGCAACTAGCAAAATCCTCTCCAACTGCAGCGCCTGCACTGGTTGATCAGTCAATTGTGGAAAACCAGTCTCGTCAAACCGTCTCACACTTTGTGATGAACCTCCCGGACTCAGCGATCAATTTCCTCGATGCCTTCCGTGGAGTTCTATTGGAAAGCGCTAGTGAACGGGATTTGAGCGGTAATAACGCCAACATGCCTATGGTTCATTGTCATTGCTTCACACGCGAACTCCAGCCAGACAGGGCTGAAGCGGATATTATACAGGTAATGTTCGTGACTTGGTGTAAAGGCTATGCTGACTGTGGTTATTAGAGAGTTGAAAGTAAACTCGGACATCAGCTGGACACCGAGGCGGCCTTGCACATGGTTCGGTCTGTTGCTCCAAACAAAGACATGTACTGTATAAGTTTTAGACTGCCTCGTGACGTGGCCTTTGCACGGTAATCTTGAATAAGGGCGCCGACATGCTTCTTGATTGATGCCCTATTTAAAGTGGCTAGGCCTATAGAAAATTCGGAATCAAATGAAACGCGTTGCTTTTGGCATCGCATGTGTCATGTGCTAGTGGCTCGGCAGTGTGATTCGGTTATGTAATCACCCGAGTTGTTTATCCCTGCAATAGTACTGCCATTGGCCCTGTTAGAGCAAATTTTTGGTGTCTTCGTTCTTGCGCTATTAACTACATTACTGCAGGCTACCAGTTAGTGTTGCATAAGTACCCTTCCCTCTAGACTTGCTTGCTTCCTCCCCCTTGCCATATAGACATACCTGATACCTCCTAGACACTATTAATTCAACACCTCGGAGTCTTGACACTAGAACAATGACACGCGTTATCGACACAGTTCATTGCGACGCTGATGCGGCATCCTCCTCTTTGACTGGCTCTGCCTTGAAAGGCGTTCGCAGTGTGGTTGCAGCACCTGAGAACGAGATGAAGCGGTGGAGAAGGATCTTTGAAGCCAATGCAAAGGTCGTGATCGACGGAGAGAAGTATATCATGATTCATCCTAAAACGATCTGACCTCTTGCTGACTGCTCGACGACAGATATCTTGACCCTGACAACTTTGTCAATGCTATCGCTCCGAAAAGCGATTCGACTAAAATAGGTCGTGCACAATTCGCGATCCTTTTTCGTGTAGCCGACTCTTCGAAGCGGGGTTTGGTTTCTTGGGACGATTTCACAGTGTTTGAGACACTTCTTAAACGTCCCGACGCAGACTATTGGATAGCCTTTCAGTATTTCGACGTGTGAGTCTTTCCTTCCCGTCCCATTATATATAGCAGCACTCAGACTTGGCGCGGTCGCATTTCAGGGACAGCTCGGGAACCATAACCTTTGATGAGTTCAAAAATGTGTTCTTGGCCAACGTTGCGCCATCTGCCATTCCTTTTGACTTTGACTGGTGCGTACCATTGGAATTCCAGATGATTTTGTGTTCACGGTGGCCACAGTGATTGGGTTAAGTTATATCTTGGGCGAAGAAACGGCACACACGTTCTTGGATGTCAGTCGGATATTGTTCTAATTCCACATTTATTAACTTTTTGGTAGACAATGAATTTACTCAGTTGATGAAGGGCCTTCAGGGAGAGCGTCTTCGACAGGCCTTTAAATATCTCGACAAGGATCAAGATGGATTTATTCGACCTGAGGAATTCAAACAAATTATTTTGGTTCGTAAACGACTCATTCCTCCTGAAGTGCGCCTCATATACTGCCCTCATAACAGGAGATTGCTGGGCATAAGCTATCTGATGCAGTCATTGAACGTCTGCCTACGTTATGCACGCTCACTCCTAGTGGGCGGATATCTTATTCTGAGGTCGTTGCATTTCAAAATGTTATTCGAGGTGAGCTTCATTGTTCTGCGGCCTGGAAGCGACCCCAACTTTTGTATTGCAGAGATGGATATGGTGGAGCGGTAATTCCACCTGCTTGATATGGTTGTCATTAACTAATAGGTTGTTAGTATTTTACGCGAGGCCACTGCCAAGTCAAAGGATGGACGCATTGACCAGTCTGACTTCCTTAATCACTCTGCTGCGATCTCGCGCTACGCTCTTTTCACGCCCATGGAGGCGTCTATCATTTTCCATTTTGCGGGTCGAGGTAGTCGCGAGAAGAGGCTTGCTTTGTTGGACTTTGCTCAACTCTTGGATCCCCAGTGGAGGGCTCCTCACGAGGTTCTCGAAGCCAATGAAGTCAGCCCGAAGGCATCATTGCTTCAAGGAGTACTGAAATCTGCCTACGGCTTTGTTCAAGGAGGCACGCTATCTATTGCGCATCACTACCGCGACGTAACTCTAACATAAATATAGGAATTGCGGGGGCTTTCGGTGCCACTATTGTCTACCCTATTGACATGGGTAAGTGATTTGGAATTATGCCGTGTTGAATCTATCTGATATGCTTGTCTTGATAGTAAAGGTACGCTGTGCATTTCGTCGATTATTCTTGTAGTCTACAACAAATCTAATTGGTTGACAGACTCGGTGCGTTTTTGACTGGGTTTTCGCGAGTTTTGTTGCTGAACAACTTCAAGGATGCAAAATCAGCGGAGTACAGTGGTCGGTCAGATGCTGTACAAGAATAGCATCGACTGTGCTCAGAAAATATTCCGCAACGAAGGTCTCATGGGTTTCTACCGTGGCCTTGGTCCACAGTTGATTGTACGTCATCGTTGTACTTCTATAATATTTCGCCTCGCCTCACGTTGTAATAGGGTGTTGCTCCAGAGAAAGCTATCAAGCTGACTGTCAATGACCTCGTCCGTGGTCGAGCCATGGATCCAGAGACAGGACGCATCAAGCTTGGTTGGGAGCTGATAGCCGGTGGAGCGGCTGGTGGTTGTCAAGTGGTATGTCTTCTTTTTTTAAGACTGTATTCATGTCGCTCACAACGATGACAGATCTTTACCAATCCCCTGGAAATTGTGTAAGTTTAAGCACCCTGGTCATAGTCTGGTCCTTACTCGAGTTTTAGTAAGATCCGTCTCCAAATACAGGGGGAAGCCGCGAAGCTAGAAGGAGCAGTTAGAACTGGTGCTGCTAACATCGTACGCCAATTGGGTGTGGTTGGTTTGTATAAAGGGGCCAGTGCCTGCTTGCTTCGCGACATCCCGTTCTCGGCCATCTATTTCACAGCATATTCCCACCTTAAAAAGGATGTATTCCATGAAGGCTACAACGGAAAGCAGCTGTCATTCCTGGAAACGTTGGGTGCAGCGGGCATTGCGTAAGGTTTATTGCGTTAAAAAACTTGCGACATCTGCTGATAGAGCGAGTTCACCAGTGGCATGCCAGCAGCCTACCTAACAACTCCTGCTGGTTCGTATTCCTTTTGAGTAGTACCCGTGATCACACCCATCAGATACTTTTCACAGATGTGGTGAAGACTCGCTTGCAGGTCGAAGCGCGACAAGGTCAGACCCACTACAAAGGTCTTACAGATGCATTTGTCAAGATCAGTAAGTGCCGATCTCATCTAGTAAAGTTGAGACATTCACGACTGGTACTTCCTCTAGATAAGGAAGAAGGTTTCAAGGCATTGTTTAAGGGAGGACCGGCACGTATCCTCAGAAGTAGCCCACAGTTTGGCTTCACCCTGCTTACATATGAATACTTGCAAAAGGTATATGATTGTTACTACGCGCCCCGAATATACTAACATCCAACTATCTTTGCAGCTCCTTCCTGTCAGTCCATCTGTTTGGTACATGCATATGATACCTAATCATTTTCAACAGTATCCATGGCAGGAGAACAAGCCCGAAGTCAAGACTGCTCTGACAACACCGAAGCGGGATGAGATGTCTCGAATCCGTGCGCGAAACGCCCTCAAAATACTACTAGACGTTCATGGTGATTTTGGGAGACGTGCGGCCAATTTCTCTCATCCCCTCGTGAAGCAGGCACACCCAACAACCTCCTCATCGAAAACAGCATGATGCACTATTTAATCTTCATCTATTGGACTTGGTTTAGACGGAACAGTATAGGAAGACAGTTTCCAGTTCCAGCTCGCTTCGATCTGTCGATGCTGTTACCGACAGCGCACCTTTGCTACTACATAGACTCAATTGCTCCTCCTGACCATTGCAGTATACCGTAATTGACACCATTGGATTATTTAACCTTGTTATACATATCGCATGCCGAACTCCGATCCATGGTCACAGCCTGAGTGATAGACGTTCTGGGATGTTCACTACCCTTGGTCCTTCTTTGACAGATGCCGCTCCGTGAAGTCGAATTTCCGTCCGATCCTAAAGATCTGGAACACGCACAAGAACGATTCTTGATTTTCTACTCTTCGCGCGTGAACGGGCAGCTATGGTGTCCTGTGAGTGCGAGTCTCATGTAGTACAGCGACAACACAGTCCTGACTTGTTGGGCCGCCAGGATTGTGTGGCAGTAGATCGGACCATCCAAGATACCTTCGGTCCTGAAGACGGGCCATCTGCGGCGATTGTCTATGTTGGCCAAAAGCCCGAGTAGGCAGGCACATCATGTCATTTGTGTACTGGCATTCAATTCTATGGTGCTCAGATGGAAAACGCCCTCCAATATTTTCAGAGGCGAGCCGTGGCAGATCACATCAGTCCCCACGGTTATTAAGGTTGAAGACGTTAGTATTGGACCAATTGAATCTTGCTACTTTATAGCAATTTCTGATAACCTCATCGACAGTCCAAAGTAGCCGGTCGACTCGACTCCGAGATCAATGCACTTCTTGCGACTTTCATCCAAGGATAGAGTGGTTGGGCTTGACACTTTCAAGTACTGACTAACAATTGATCTTTTTGATTCAATGTTAAGTGTTGTGTAATAGAAACAACTGAAGGTCAAACTTTTGGGTAAAAACTCCTCGCCAACTCATGATCATACGCAACATCCACGAAATCTCCCTGGCATACCATATTTCACTGATCATACATCGACGATCCACCGGCCCAGTGTAACTCCGCGGAGGCTGCTCATGCACTCGACAGTCTGGTGCACCGTAGAAGTGCCAGGTAGGCGAAGGTAGACGATGATGACTGACAACACTCAACAGCCCAAGTTATCTACCTCACGTTTGCATCACTTGGGCACATTTCTTGGCCTACACCGAACTAGGTTCAAGAACACGGCCAAATGGGAAGCTGGTCGCAGCTCTTTGTCATTTCAGAGCGGGATTGTGACCTTCAATTTTTCAGCTCATGGATCGTGATTCCACTGTGGACTCTCCTCGAAGTCGAGTTTCATCACAAATGTTGAGTTGACGGCGAGCAAGAAGAAAGTAAATGAAAGAGAAGAATTGAACATTAATTTATATTTTGCGGGTGTGCGGATGACTTTGACCAAACATACATACTGCATGATGGCATGACGCAAAGAGATAGAGCAGGTGGAGCTAGATGGAGGGGTAGAGTGTACCAGGGGCAAAATATAGTAATTAGACTCCAGGAGGAGCAGCGTGGGCCCGAATTTTGCGTCCTGGCACGATTAAGAGTTGCCAAAAAAAAGGATGCAATTGAGGATATATGTTGAGGGCTACATGTACATTGGTGATGAAACTAATGGTTACGGACCTCGAGAAAAATCACCACTTTTACCACCCGTTTTATGCACGACCATGATTTCCCCAATTTTCATTTCTTTACCCACCACGGCCTTCAGCATATCCCAGACTGTAAGAAGACCGACCGATACCGCCGTTAGTGCTTCCATTTCAACTCCGGTTTTGCCTTCGCATGCCACGGTAGCAGTACACTTTATGCTATACTCGAGGGCGCCTTCATCACCAGGCTGTGAAACTGGACACACACCACGCTCAGGCGTCAATGTAACAGATATGTTGGATATTTGGAGAGGATGACATAGCGGAATAAGGTCGGAGGTTCGCTTGCATCCCATGATCGCTGCCAGTTGGGCGACTGTCATCACATCCCCTTTGCTGCGAGCCTTCTGGATCGTCACGTCCGTGAAATCGACATTATCCGATCCTGTGATAAGGTCATATGCAGATCTTGGGATGTATATGCGACCGCTGGCGGTAGCACTACGCTTCGTTGCGTCCTTACTACCAACATCAACCATGCATGGCCGACCATCAGAACCAATGTGAGTCAAATGGAGGTCAGGTTGGCTAGATGACGAACTCCAGCGTCGATGGACATGAGGTAACAACAGTGTACCATCGACAAGGTGGGGTTGTGCAGGAAGGCGGGGCAACGATCGCACTCTAGACTTGCGAGGCTGTAAGCCTGGAAAGGTGGATTGACATCAGGACACTATATTAAATCCTTCATACACTAGTAGACTCTGCCTCGAAGGAAAGTACCTAACCTCCGATGAGTATCATAGGTCGATTGGTTATGACATCAATGTCCTCCATTCCGGCGTGCTTCTCCTGTTTGCCTTGGACAGCGTGTCCAATGACGTTTAAGAGTTCTCCATCACTAGCACCACGTCGCATTTCATCTCTAAGGGATACTTCCTTTGCATCAAAGAGACAAACCTGGTTAAGGGTGAGTACGTGGCACACTCTAGTCACGACGAACATACTTTAATTTGCCCGTCTGCTGTCAAACGTAGGCGGTTGCAGGAGGAGCAAAAATGATCTGACATGCTGCTGATGAAGCCTAAACTACCAGCATGTCCCGGAATCTTCCAGGATCGTGCGGTGTCATTGAGTTCGTCGGGTGCCCGTGTTATAGAAGGGTATTTTCTTGAGATAATGTCCAAAAGCTGGCTGGAAGGGACCATCTTTGCCTTATCCCACTTGTTTCCTGTGGCGGCGTAAGCAAAGACAATGATTGTTGGGGACACAAGATACCTGTGAAGGGCATGAATTCGATAAATCGAACAGATATGTTTTTGTCGGCAGTCAGTTTGACAAAATCCAGGACTTCTGAATCGTTGAGACCCTTGACGATGACGACATTTAATTTCACTGATCGTAAGCCTTGACTGTGGAGGGCAGTGCTGAGTGAACGAAGAACTGCATCGTGACCCGGACGCCGAGTCATAATCTCAAACTTGAAGGGGTCCAGAGTATCGAGGCTGATCACTATCAGACGTGCCGTATTGAATGCACGAAGAAATAACGGTCACCTCAAATTCAGGTGTGTTAAACCATTTTCGATATAAAGAGGAAGACGGCGATGCAGGGCGATTCCATTAGTGGTCATTCCGATGGACTGGAGACCAAGTGGGCGGAGCTCGCTAAGGCGACCTGCACAGAATTTAGCCAACATTCCGAAGCATGGCAATGATAACTTGCGAATTATGCCGTCCAAGCCTTTCCGCACAGTAGGTTCTCCCCCAGTCAAACGTATTTTAGTGACGCCGCTTCTCACAAAAAGATTTGCCAATCGGATGATCTCGTCGTCGGTTAAGATATGGTCGGCCGGTGATAGCTCTACTCCTTCGCTAGGCATGCAATAAAAACCTACATTGCAATCAGATTGTTTTAGTGCTCGAAACAACGAATTAAATGAAGGACAGACATCGAAGATTGCATCTCTCTGTCAATGAGATGCGAAGATAATCGTGTCTCCTATGAAACGAGTCAACGAGTGCGGGTGAGAATTGTTTTTGTGCATCGATATGTGCAATTTTTGACTGAAGGTATAATGAGTTGATTCTACGCCGGATCATGCCAAGTGATCATACCTGAGCCTTTGCTCTTGGGGTCGTCCTAGTGTTCTGCGAATAGTAGCGGAGACAGGTAGGCCCGTATTTGCGAGATATCGCAGAACATAACCTGCTTGACCGTTGATAACTCATGTATCGGAGGAAGGAATAAACATAGTTTGCTCCTGAGATTAGTAGTATCTCATGGCCCCCGTCCTCGTGACAGTCAGAGTTGCTTCCGATGGCATGTCACACTGCATTTGACCTGCAGGTCACATGGCATGACGCTCTGTATCTGGCTCCTCAATATCATTAAGCTCCTTATAACAAGCTCCTTAACACACTAAGTCTATCTTACTACCCTATTAGCTGTCCGTTCTGAGCCGACTCAACCGCTCCCATCCTTTATTTTCCCTTTCTCTTCATGTCGTTGGCCATGGCCACGAACACACCTTTCAATGGTGGTGTAAAACAACCCCAAGAAACGGCAGAAACTCATATTCATGATATCATGAGCCATGATGCATCCAAAGGTGCCATAGTTCACTCGTTTGACCCGGATGCCACTCCACAACAGAAGGCAGCTGCTGCGGGGATGCAGCGTGACCAACTGAAGAGTATCGTCCAGCAGGACGGAAGTGCGCATGGCGGAAAAGGCGCGTTTTTTTCTCTGCTACGTCACCCAAACCAAACGTCTGCATCAGAACCATCCATTGTCGGAGCGTCCATCCCTACCATCACAGTTGAAGACACGGGCGAAGCGACCAACGAAGAGCAGGAGAGATCGGGCAGTGTAACTCCATCTGCACTCACAGTACCCGGAGAATACCCCTCTGGTCTTGCTCCAGCGATTCCAGATTGGTACAAAGTCGGTTGGCGTGCTGTTGCAAACATCGATGCACCTCCGCTTGAAGAAGGCGAGGAGAAAGACAACCACATACTCCAGCTTTTCTTGACTGAGCAATATTATGGCCAGTGGTACCACAATGCCGCTCTTATCTTCTTTGTAAGTCTATGATCTTGTCATTTGCATCAAGCTCATTTACATGGCGCTGTACAGGCTGTATTCGCTTCTCATTTCTTGACACGATTCAACTTCGGCTGGGGGTGGCTGATTCTTTTGCTATCTATTTGCAACACCTATTATGTGACTTCAATGACTCGTGTCCGCCGTTGTGCCCGTGATGATATTCAGCGTGAATTGATCAAGACACGCCTTGCGTCCGAGCACGAATCCGCTGATTGGATGAACAACTTTTTGGACCGTTTCTGGCTCCTTTATGAGCCTGTTCTCTCTGCTACTGTTGTCGCCTCTGTTGATCAGATCCTGAGCACCACTACTCCCGCCTTCTTGGACTCCTTGCGCCTCACGACCTTCACCCTTGGGACGAAGGCTCCCCACATAGACAAAGTTAGGACATTTCCAAGGACTGCTGACGATATCGTCATGATGGACTGGGGAATTTCCTTCACTCCCAATGATACATCTGACATGACCCCCCGTCAAGCGGCTCAAAAAGTCAACCCCAAAATTGTTCTATCCGTTCGCCTGGGCAAAGGTCTTGCCACAGCCTCCATACCCGTCCTTCTCGAGGACATCACCTTCAGCGGTATCATGAGGATTAGGTTAAAGTTGATGGCGAACTTCCCCCACGTGCAGATCGTGGATATCAGCTTCCTTGAAAAACCGGTTATTGACTACGTGCTTAAACCGGTGGGTGGCGAGTCGCTTGGATTTGACATAGCCCACGTAAGTAACAGTATGACGAAGTATCATCGACTTGAGCTCACCTTATTATCAGATTCCTGGTCTACAGACTTTCATTCGGGATATGGTTCACGACACGCTCAGTCCCATGATGTACGACCCGAATGTGTTCACTGTCAATCTCGAACAACTTCTTTCTGGTGTACCCCTTGATACAGCTATTGGCGTCATTCAAGTCACCGTCGAGGCTGCTCGCGGGCTTAAGGCCAACAAGATCGGCGGGGGCTCTCCTGATCCCTATGTTAGCATCAGCATCAATAACCGCGAGGAACTCGCGAGAACCAAGTATAAGCCGAGCACGTCAGCCATTTTCATCGTTTTGCTTTGCTTGGCCTCACTATTACCACCAGATACAACCCAACATGGATGGAGACAAAGTTCATTGTGGTCAACTCCCTTCAAGAGTCGTTGGTGCTTAGTCTCCTTGACTACAACGAGCATCGTAAGGACACTCCTCTTGGTGCCGCCACCTTCGAGCTGCAGAAGCTACTGGAGGATGCAACTCAGGAAGGTTTAGAGCTACCCGTTTTAAAAGATGGAAAGGATAAAGGAATGATTCGTTTTAACGTCAACTACTTCCCGGTTTTGAAACCCGAATCCGTCAATGGAAAAGAAAATCTGCCTCAAACAAGTGCGTCCACGATTCATTTCCCCTCCAAGACTTATCACCCTTGCTAGATGTTGGAATTGTTCGCTTGACTATCCACCAGGCTAAGGAACTTGATGCTACAAAATCACTTTCCGGCGACTTGAACCCCTTGGTCAAGGTCTTCCTTGGGAACAGCACTTCCTACACGCACAAATCGCAGATCATCAAGCACACAAACAATCCCATTTGGGAGTCGCCGACAGAGTTTATTTGTGCAGACAAGTCGTCTTCAGTCATCACTATCAAGGTGGTTGACGAGCGAGATTTCCTCAGAGATCCTGTGGTCGGTTATATGTCTGTCCGGCTGGTTGATCTTCTCCAGACGGACCCCGCTCTTAACAGGGAATGGTGGCCTTTGAGCGGCTGCAATAGCGGCAAGATCAGGCTCAGTTGCGAGTGGAAGCCGCTGCACATGGCTGGCGCCTTAAGTAGTGCAGATCAGTATGTACCTCCCATAGGTGTTGTCAGACTTTGGTTGCGGAAGGCGACGGATGTCAAGTAAGTTTCATTCAGGAACTGTGACACAGCAGGTTTGACAATCAATTCTTAGGAACGTGGAAGCGACTTTCGGCGGCAAGGTGATACACATCTGTTGTTTTTAGGAGGGCTCAGCTGACGACAGTCTGTTTCAGAGTGATCCCTATGTGCGAGTATTGGTGAATAGCGTCACTCTTGGGAGGACTGAAGTTATTAACAACAGTGCGTAGTGAATAATTGTGACCAAGCCCTAATAACCTTTACTGCAGATCTGAACCCTGAGTGGGATCAAATAATATATATACCGGGTATGTAGTCTCACGTCTTGTTGCTTTTCCTTACTCATCTGTGTTGTTCTGTGTTGCTAAGTCCATTCGTTGAGAGAGGCAAGATTCTCCACCAGTCCTCGCATCTAATAGGCTAATTTCTGATCAGTCGATGTTCATGGAAGTCATGGATTACCAGCATCTGACTAAGGTCTGTCGCTGTCCGCTGGTACGTACGACTGGCTGACCAGGATCGCAGGATCGCTCCCTTGGATCGGTGGAATTGCTTGTTAGTGATATCGCATGCGAGTCGCCAGTTGATTCACAACACCGCTACGAATCAACCGGTGCCAAGGAGGTTGCTGAGCCAATCCGGACCGACAGCAACTCATATAAAGGGCAGCTACACTACAGAGCTGAATTCGTATCAGCTTTGAACGTGAAGCATGTGTGGTTTGATGCAGACGAGAACGAGATCCAGAAAGCCGCTCATCAAGTCCAGCGCAATCATGCTAATGGTATTAGCACCCGTAGTTCCTCCAGCAATGGAGAGGAGCGATATGTGACCGTCGATCATCCAATGACTGAGGCAGAGACGCATAGTCCACCTCATCAAACAGATTCTAGCGAATCAGTTCGAGCCAACGGGAATGGGGCTGCAAACACGGACGAAGAAGCTTCATCACCGACCGAAAAAGATTCTGCGAATGAAGGCATCCAACTCAGCAAGGAAGAGCTGTTCAAGCATCGTGAGTGGGCTAAAGTCCTTCGGCCTGTACTCACACTCATCTGCGTATCAAGAGTCGGGTATAATTATCTTTAACGTGATAGGCGGACATCTGCAGAAGAAAGCTCGTCTTGATGTGCTCTTGGATGATGCGTATTGGCCTGCTTTCAGCACCCTGAAATCGCGAGGTACAAATGCTAGGTGGGCGCATGTTGGTGAAGGATTCCTTAAAGAGCTTGACTTTGGTCGTGTCTGGCTGCGCTTGAATGAGAGTGGGGACTTCGACAAGGATGACATTACGGCGGAATGGAAGGGTGATGCTAAGGCTTTCTTAGATGCCACTCTGGTGAGCCGTCTGCTCTTGATGTAGATGTTGATCCTTATGATCTGCAGGACCGTCGGTCGTCCTTCTCACTCACACATGCAGATGGCCATTCGTCTACCGTTGAGATTGAAACCCGCTATGTACCCGTCCCAGTGAAGCTTTTGGCTAGAGAGAGTATCAACAGTAAGCAGTTTGTAGAGCCCGTGCATTATTTACACCTCTCACCTCCTTTGTCGCAGACCAAGGCATACTCCGAATTTACCTTTTGGCTGGAAAGGACCTTCGTTCTGCTGACAGATCAGGTAAGCTTTACTACGTGCACGTTGTCTCGTCCTAAGACGATACCTAGGCACATCTGATCCATTCGCCGTTTTCACTCTTCATGGCACGAAGGTGTTCACATCTCAAACCAAAAAGAAAACTCTCAACCCTGATTGGTCAGAAATGTTCGAAGTTAATGTGGTATGCCCATCTGTCATTTATCGAGATATATCTTCCACTAAACCATGTTAGCCATCTCGAGAGGCGGCCGACTTTTCTGTAGAAGTTTTCGATTGGAACCAACTCGAACAATCTAAGAGTCTTGGGCATGGTACCATTAATCTGCGTGATATAGAACCCTTTGAGGCCACCGAACAGATGATCGAGCTTTCCTCAGAAAAGCACGGTGCAAAAGGACATGTCGCAATTCGATTGATCTTCCAACCGGAGATTATTGCCAAGAACCGGAAGGCGACCTCGACCTTCACCTCCGCAAGCCGCGCCATGACCCATATCGGATCATTACCCTTCGGTGCTGGCAAGGGCGTCGTTCGTGGCATTGGTCATGTGTTCAAGAGAGACTTCGGGGGCAGTCATGAAAAGTTAGATGTTCCCCACGCCGTGCCCGAGGCCGCTGCTGGCCAGGCATCGCGACCGATAGGGGGTCATACTGCAGACGAAGATACTAATGCCGCTACCCTCCTCCGCTTTCCCCTCCTTGAATCGTACTCTTTCGCTTTCAGGTCCACCTTCAGAGCCTGGAACACTCAGAGTAACGATGATGAGCGCAAAAGACGTGTCTATGACGGACACCAAAGCGTACGCAGTCATACGTGTTGGTGACAAGGAGTTCAAAACAAAGCACGGTACTAAGTCATCATCACCAGAATGGTGAGACCTTCCTGCCTGGTTTATGGTGCCGCCTCTCAACTTTTATGCTAGGAACGAGTCTTTCCATTTTACTGCTAGCGCGCACATGCCCAAATTGCATCTTTGGATTTATGACCATAAGACGCTCGGAAAAGATAAGCTGTTAGCTGAGGGTGAGGTTGACGTACGTTAAGATTTCTTTGGTTGTGGTATGATTTCACTGACAAATTTGATTAGATCTGGCGGCACATACAAGTTGGCCAGTCGACAGCTGCTGAGGTTACCGTTGAGCTTCAAGGGGGTGGGCTTGCCAGCCTCCGTCTCGAATTTGATGCAGGGAATAATCCACTGGCACAAGACGCGTCAGTCGTGTCCCTTGAACGATCGCAGCCACAGACTTCATCGTCGAGATTCAGCATCAGGGGTCGCAGACCAGGGTTTAACGAGGACAATTGACTTACTGCGTAAGCAATTCTTGATATCTTGCTTGGGATTACTACACATTTAATTCACGATCTATGGGCTGCTAGTTTTATGTTTCATTTGCTACTCATTGATGTCCCAAGAATTTTATGCCATTGAATTATTAAGACGTGCTTCCGCTGCCGGCATCAGCTAGGGACGGTCCGTGTGAAGCGAATGATTAATAAAAATTCTCTTCCCGCCCGTCGTTCGATGACAACCTAGTAATTGTAAGAGTGTGATCAACTCGTACTGGACTGGTTGAGTTTACCTGGCTGGTCAAACCAAAGTCTTCCAACATCCTGGATCGGATGCTTGGGACATCGTTTTGTTTCAAGGCAACCAAATAAAATCTGCCCTGCGGCGATAACAGACACTGAGAAGCATAGTTAATGATATTCCACAGCATTAGGAAAGATGATACCTCAACGTCTTGTAGCAAACAATTAGTAATTTCCATTCCATCAGCTCCCCCTGCCCAGGACCCTGCAATACCAGCACTACTCTGAGCACTGGAAGCTTCTTCTGTATCTGTCGGCACATAAGGGGGGTTAAATAAGAGTACATCAACTCCGTGATGCAATCGCGATAAGAAAGGTCGCGCTAGCGAGCATGTCACTGGATCTAGAGGCATCTACTATGTAGTTGTGAATTAAATGCAGTTAGAACGTCAACAAGACTCAGGCTGTACCTTGTTCTGTTTCCCTGTTGCGAGTGTACAACGGGTGGCGTGTTTGTTTATATCAGTGCAAAGGTAAACTGGTAAATTGTTGCTAATCAGCCTTACACCCAGAATGATGAATACGAACTCACGAGAAGAGGATTGTCCGAGTATCTTTCCAAGAAACGCCGACACGCATCCTGATCCGGACCTGAGTCGCACTCAGCATTTCATAGCATGTATAAGCTAAAACTCACCCGACCTCGAGACAAATCAGAGGACATTCCTTTCGGAGCGCTTCTGCCTCCTGCTCGAGGCTATCCAGTAGCAAGAATGTGTCTTCTGCGAGATATATTAGATTACGGTGCGGTCCATATGTCTGCTCACTTACCTGCTGGGTCGTACACTTGCTCGAGATCATGCCTAGTCAAATGAGAAAGATCTGGCGTCGGTATCATGATGGCGGTGATGGAGAATTGAAATAATCACGTGGTGCGACGCGTCGTTGGCGCGTGTGCGGCACGCCACATCTGGGTGATTATTTACGTGTCCAAACTTCAACCCACTCTGCGAATCTTCCCAACTTCTCAACTTCCAACCCATACTTAGCAGTGGTAAATCGCCGCAAAAATTGCAACACCATGGCCACGAGATCGAAGATTGGTGCAGCAGCGACCAGGGCATCGACCCGAACAAAGACACCAGTTCCACCTCCGAGTCCTCCAGCAGGGATAAAGACTATTCGAGCAAGACTTCCAAGCAAAACTATTGCACAAACTGAGGTATCAAAAACGCGAACAACTGGTCGAAAACCTCTTGCCAATCGAGCTAATTCGCCTGATGCCAAGCTTCCTGCTGCCAAGAAGGTGGTCGGTACTAGGCAAGCACGGGCAGATCACGGATTAACTACAGAGCGCGAACCCGTTATGGTGGATTATACGTACTGAATTTTTATCGTATACTGAGAACGTCCTTTAGGCCTATTTGCGCATTCGTCCTCACCTTGGGGATGATGAATCCATGTCTATGCCTTATCTTGCCCCTTTATCCGACACGTCTGTACAGATGACTGACATCTCCCATGACGGTGCAGGCAGCTCCAGACCGCACATTCGTGTCTCAACTGTTGCACCTTCGTCAATCTACAGATTCTCGCATGTTTTCCTACCAGAAACACAACAGGCAGAGTTCTTCGCAAAAACTACGCTTCCCCTTGTGCGTGATCTCCTGGATGGACAAAATGGCTTGTTGTTTGCATACGGCGTTACAAATTCTGGCAAGACGTATACAATCCAAGGAGGCAATGGTCCTGATTCTGCAGGTATCCTGCCGCGGACACTGGACGTCATTTTTAACAGCGTCGAAGGACTGCATAGCGATGGCCGGGTGAGCGATGGTTCAAATATACACGACCTAATAACTTATCGTCGATTTTTCTTAGTTCAGGCCCGTTAGGCTGTACGGCGTAGAAGAAGCTGGTCCTTCTGAGTTCCTGCCTCCCACGGACATCGACGTGCCAACTGATGAGCCACGACTCGCAGAAGTCCTTGCAGAACACCTCTCGAGCACGGATGACATCGATATCGATCCGACCATCGTTAAGCTCGACCGCAACTACGAGTACTCTATCTGGATATCTTATGCGGAAGTATACAATGAAAAGGTGTACGACCTTCTTGCTGAAGTGACAGAGGATACGTCGCGGTCACAGATCCCTCGCTCCAACACTAGCGCACAACTCGGCCATCCGCTTCTGCTGACGCGTAAAGCCCTCACCGTTAAACCTTCACCTGCCTCTGACGCTTTAGATGAGAGTGGGCCTGGAAGCACGGGGAAATATATTGCAGGACTGAGATATTTTCGGGTAACTGGTGCTGCGCAAGCAAAGGCACTTGTCAAGCTAGGACAGCTGCACCGGCGTGTCTTCGGCACGCTGGCTAACAGCCAAAGTAGCAGGAGCCATGGTATGGTGACTATCAAGATTCTAAGAGGACACCGGGGTGACCGGGATGTAAGTACAGTACGGATCTTGGAAATACGGTGTTGTTCTTCAACTTTTGCAGGACCCAAGCTCTCTGCAAATATCGCGGTTAACCCTCGTGGATCTAGCAGGATCGGAGCGAACCAAGCACACGCAGACAACTGGCGATCGTCTAAAGGAGGCCGGAAACATCAACAAGTCTCTCATGGTCCTTGGGCAATGCATGGAGGTAGGTTGACTATGTTTTTGTCTAGTACCACACCTCACCATCTGTAGGTCATGCGCTCCAATCAAAAGCGCCTCGCACAAAGCCTAGCAAATCCTGGGCGGACGGATACTCGTGATGTTAAGAGGGCGTTGGCTGTTGTGCCATTTAGGCATAGCAAACTCACGGAAGTATTAATGGATTACTTTGTTGGCGATGGTCGAGTCGTAAGTCTTCGGCTTGGAGCATTGTGCAAATGGTTCATGGTGAGCTTATAATGATAGGTGATGATCGTCAACATCAATCCTTATGATACCGGCTTCGAAGAGAACTCTCATGTCATGAAATTCTCTGCGCTTGCGAGAGAAGTTTCGACGACCGTGAACAACGCACCTGTACCCCGCGTACAGACCAATCCAAGCAAGCGGAGTACAATCGGCTCAGCTCTACCCAGGGCTGTGACCAGGAAGGTGACGATATCGAGTCTTCTCCCTAATAAAAAGGTCAGCGAAGCACATCTCGAGGTTCTCGAAGGTGCGTTATTACATTGTAAAATTTACCCTTCATCGATCTGCTCTATACAGAGGATGAGGCGAGGGAAGATGGCGAGAGTGAGGAGGAAGATGATGAACCCATCAATCCGCTAGTGGATGCCTTGTTTGATGAAATAGAGGACTTGCGCCTGCGGGTACGATTCTATTACTAAGGGTTGATGTCTATTCAACAAAACGCCATTTTCACAGCTCTACGAGGCGGAGATGCGCTGTGTAATAGTCGAAGCGGAAACCCGCGAAGACGTTATGAAGGAAATGGAAGAAAGGATGCGCGAAATTGAGAAGACTTACAACCAGAGGCTTATGAGCGAGGTAAAGTCTGGACCTCGAGGGCAACACACCAACTTACAGCGTTTGTCAGGTAGAGCGAAACGAGCGGAAAATGGACGCCAAGATCGACATGCTGCATCAAGCTGGACTAATTGGCTCCCCTCAAAAGCGTCGAGAGATAGTGGAGGATGGCGACGAGTCAGGTGAGATTGAAGACGAGGTGAGTTCAAGTAGGATGAAACGCCCTTATTGGTCCGGAGTTGACTCCGATTTAGAACGTAGAAATTATCGAAGATAGCGATGAGCCGGCTCACTCCGAAGCAAGCCGATCTTCATCACCTCTTGACGGCAAGGGGAAGACCAAAACACAATTAGAGCTCATCTCTAACCGAATGTTATGCACCAATCAAGAGGAGACCGATGCAAGTGCTCAAAGCGAAATCGAGCAAATGACAGAGGAAGAAGAAAGTGTGGAGGACGACCCAATTAGTGAAGATGACGAGTCCGATGACTACGCCCCTCTAGCTAAGGCCAAGTCTAGGCCGTTTAAAGTAGCCGCCATACCTCTGGCAAAAGGGAAAGTAGGGATTCCAGAATCCAAAACTAGTCGTCGATCAACTCGCACTGTGTCTTTGTTGGGGAAGAAAATTAAAGATCTTTCTCTCCTGGAGGACGGCACAGGTGACGCTGACGACTCTGTCACGATTCTACCCAATCGAAAGGCACGGGCAGCTTACGGGGGTCCCGATGTTGTATTCGTGCCAGGGGAAGGCGACCTTGATACTACGAAGAAAAAGAAGAGGTGAGATCTGTGCCACGAGTTCGACAATAGACTGACAACTCCTCAAAGGCAACTGGGTAAGAAGGCTGTAGTGACTGAGGAGGAACTAGAACAAGTAGTTGGTGCCGTGGAGAAAAACGCCCAAAAGGGTGGAGGAAGCAAGAACATCAGGCGGATGCGTATAAGCTAATGGTCGATGATCTACTTATTTGTTTTCTCTTGAGAGCTTCGCGGACAGCCGTGATCTGTAGACTGTAATACTTGATGCTATATGTTTTTCTATCCTCATACAAGTGAAGTACCTCGGTCGTAATGAAATGACAGAAATGGCGAAAAACATGAGTATTTTGTATTCGGCGTTACAGAACGAACGCAAATTGATGTAGACTCAGTGTTGGAATAGAGATTGCACAGACGCGTCGTTCATGTTTCTGATAATGTCATGTGACGAGACGCGTCTAATCTGTATCACGTGAGCGTGTTCAATACAATAGCCTTTAAGTTCCATATATCGTATCGAGTTCACGACAGCGATCACCTTTCTTGATTTGCCTTTGCTTGGACGTACACAGTTTGGATATGACAACTAATGGCGGTAGAGGGTCGCCCAGCAGACGTAAATCTATCGCGGTAGCCAACCAGAATCGGCCTCTTCATCCAGGCAAGAAGCGGCGAGCACATTCTATTGCACCTGGCGACAAGATCAATCTTGCTTCGAGGACACGTCGGTCACTGGTAAGTTATATTAATAATTATGATCGACTGCCATTTGTTTTCCTTACAATCTAACAGGCTCCCCGAAAAAGTATCCTCAAACCAGCAGTCAACATCCCTGAGGATGATGACGATGCCACGCAATCCATGGATCTGACCAATGTTCACGAAAATACGCGAAAATCTCTTGCACGGCGCGTTAGCTTCGCAGACCGGGCACATGTCCGGCTATTCGAAACACAGGAACAAAATACGAATAGCACCGCTTCCCCTCAGTCCTCACCTGTGCAGGAGGCCGTTGAACGAGGCCCTACGGATGAAAATGCATATCCTGGAGCAAACAAATTCCGTCGCCGAAGCTCAATTCGATCCATCGCTTTCAGTGATGGCGCAGGAGAGGAATCCATGGATATGGACTCCGATGATACAGCTTTTGGGCCAGCTGCATATCTACGAGCTCAAAATGAGGAGTTGCTTATTAATGACGACTTTGCGGATGATGACTTCAACTTTGATGACGACGACATGGAGGTCACCGAAGCCATTCAGGTCGATATCCAAAAGCGACGCTCCTTGGCACTCGCTCCTTCTCGCCAACCACTTGCAGATGTAATCTCGTCACCAGACAATCATGACGGGGGTGGTCAGCAGCAGGCTCTTGCCGATCAGTCATATACTGAAGATGACTCCCATCAATCTCAGTCATTCGTATCTGAAGGCGATGTCTCTCAGCCAATGGAGTTCACTGTTCCACTCATCCGTCCACCAGCCCCTCCAAGTGAAGCCTGGCTTGCTCTTCGATCAGTAACCCACTCTGGTGAAACCCCATACGTTCCCTCGTCTGACGAAGAGGACGAACATGGGGGACAGGACATGGAGATCACCGATGCTCTCACGAGGCTCCAAGCAGCTCGCGAATCCCTCGGGTTCGGAAATGGAGTAGATGTTGAAGAATCTGGACAACAAAACAACAGTTTTAGTAGCTCTGAGGATAGTTTTGTGCAAGATGATGTGGAAAACGACGGCAACCAGACTATCAATGTCACTCAGCTTATGCGCCGGGTCAGTCTTAGTACTGGCATTGGGGATGGCAATTCTACTATGGACATCACGTCCACATATGACAGGCAGGGGGAGCCAAGCGAGGACCAGTCTGATGTCGCAGGCACGGACCTTTCATTCCCTTCCACGCAACCAACAGTAGAAGCTCATGGGGATATCGCTCAGACAGAACCACAGGAGTGTGTTCATGAGGAGCCAGCAGCCAGACCTGCTGTATTCAAACCAGCCCCGCCACTTGGGGAGATCCCAAATGCACTCACACCCGCTCCTGTTCCACGACCTGCTACGATTCCCAAGCCATTCTCGTTTTCCTTCACGCCTCGCGGACAAACGCCAGCGTCGCCAGCCCGCCCTCGTCCTCCTTCACCTACTAAATCACCGAGCAAAGCTAAATTTTCTGCAGCTTTTGCCCCTCCTGTTGCTCGTCCCTCGCCAAAAAAGAGGGTCCAAGGCGTAGTCGACGACTCAGAATCAGAAGACAGACCCAGTCCCGCTAAAAAGCTAGCTGGCCCCCGGAAACTGACTGCATCACTAAATGAGTTCTCCAAGGAGCAACCCATTCAGTCGAGCAGGCTTCCGAGGCTCTCCCCAAGCAAGAAGACACCATTCCAAGTAAATGTAGAGCCGTTTTCAGGCCCGAATAAACGCCCGTCTATTGGATTTCGCCGTCCCTCGGGACACTTCGCGCAGAGGAAAAGCATGAGTGGAGCAGCTCCTCCTGCTCCTCCTGCTTCAGCCAAGAAAGCGGCCGCGTATATTGGCAGGGAGAGTATTTCCTTTGCAGGCGAGAAGGAGGGAGCTGTTGGAGAAACGACGGAGAAAGCGAGTGTATTGGAGTCGCAGGAGGAGGTCAGAACTGAGACCATACCTGCACCGCCGCACGACTCTCCAACCAGAGAGTCTCCCGTTTATGAGATTCCAGGAAGGGTTTCTCCGTTTGCTGACCTGCTCAGGAAATCGCCAGCGAGCGTGTCCCCTGCACTTCCTTCCCCTCGACCTCAAAGCCCTTTACGCAATTCACCTCGACCATCAACACCGGTACGCGCATCCCCTCGGCCACCCAGCCCTGGACTAGAACAAATACCAGAAGACCTTCCAGAACCTGATTTCGAGGAGATGGAGGTAACTTCAGACCTAACGCCATTAGCCCTTATCTCTGAGGGGATTTCTAACCCCACCGAGCAAGGGCGCAGAGATATTGCTGAAGGAGACTTCCCTCCTGAAGATGGCCCACAAATCTCCATAGAGCAATTCTTTGAGATGACCGGGATACGATTCATGGATGAAATTGCTGCCCCCCGTCGCTCTACCGTACACCCGTCTGCCCTTCGTCCTTCCAGGCGACAGTCAACGGAAAGCGAGATCCCTCTATCTGAATATGTGGTAGCAATGGCAGTTGATGTGCCACAGCTAGAGTTGTACACGCACGTTAGTAAAGACCTGCAACTCTGGATCGAGCGAATCAAAGGCATCTACAAAGAAGCAGAAGACGAGGCCCTCAAGATGACTCCTGAGTTATTCCAAGAATTTGTGCTGGCGGACGAGGAAGGCCAGAATGAGCTCCTCCATCAGCTCAAGCTCATCAAGGTCAACAAGCATGCACAGGCCAAGTCAGAATGGTACGACTGGAAGATGCAGTGGGTTGAGCAATTGTATGAGAAGGCGGATCAAGGGTTTCGAGATCTTGAGGCGGTATGCTCAGTATCCTTTACCGTTTCATTACGTTAATATTTTCGATGACAGGATGCCAAAGTTCTTGAAAATATTATCCGTCAAACCCAGGATGTTGTACCTGCTCTCAACGAGGAATACGAAAATCTTCTCCGCGAGTTGGAACAAGAACAGGCTGACGTCGCTGAGCTCGAGAACTGCGACCAAGATTATCTGAATGAGCTAAAAACGACCATTCAAGAACAAAGGTGAATATGCTTCGAGTTTGATAGTCTCAAACTAGTTGATTGAGCGGTACCCTTGTAGTGTTGCGCTTGAGGCCTTCCGAGCAGACGTCGATGAGGGTAAAGCCAAACTGGATCGTCTACAGGAGAAGCTGGAGGAAATTGAAGCTCAGAAGCTTGAAACCACCGATGCCATCCAAGTGGCTGAGCGACAGGTTCAGGTACAGAAAAATAGTACGCATGCCGAAGTCTTCAGGCTAAAAGGTAGCATATTTCTCTCCTCAAAATCCTTTGCAATGCTGACGTGTTGCCCAGATGAGCTAGAAGCCCTTCAAAATCTTCACATGCTACAAGTCACAAAAGTCCTGCCAGAGCTTTTTGAATTCAGATATGCGTCATCTTATGACGTCTCCGTCCCATGCGAGAACTTTTGCCCAGTTGTCAAGGAGGTGTCGATAACGCGAGTCCAGAGTGCGAAGCTCAAGTACAAAGATGCATTCCCTACTCTTAGCCCGTTGATACTAAAGACGGCGAGCGCACTCATTACAAGATCCAAAAGAGATCTCAGCGTTCGACAGGTAGGAAGTTTTTGAATGTCAGGCAAATTCATACTAAACTCGACAATTTTAGATTGTCGAACGTCTAGGAGACTACTGGTCTGCTTGCTCCCAATTGTTAACCCAACTAAAGTTGGTCGCAATTAAGTACCCAGTCGCCGTCACTCACGGAGAAGACGATGATTCCGGGTTCACTGCAACTGTAACAGTTATGCTCCCCAGCCAGAAGGCGAAGGCCTTGATATCTTTCATATTTGACACTCGGACGTTCTCTTCTTGGCCTATATCGATACAAACTATGCAATGCTGACGTGAAAGTTGCATACGGTCCTGTTCAGTGCGTGTATTATTTGTCGAAGACTATTGACGCTGATTACAGTTTTTAGACGGGATACCCTCCAAGAAGCCATCCTTGGAAGATTGAGAGAGGCTACCGTGGCAGATAATTATGGTTGCCTCCTGGACGCGTGCACAGTCGCTTTGGACTGCTACGCATAACCTCGTGGTTGGTTTATGTAGCTTCTGCAGGTCGGATTATATCACCCATATGGTTATTATATCTTACAGGACTTAAGTGGTTGGCGTGTATCACTAAAATCTATTATACATACATAATATGTATCCCTTCCATTGATTTTAATGGTGCCAGACAGGCAGTGTCATATTAGTACGTTCTTTCTGAGTGACAGCTAAGTAGAAGTAAACAACATTCTCAAGGGAAGATTCGTAGCTATGGCTAGATGATAGGTAATGTGTACTAAGTACCGGTACACGGGCATAGGTGTTAAGGGGTCATTCATGTAGTACAAATTGATCCAAGGAATAGATGAAGCTCATAAGCATAAATCTGTAATTCGACGTTCAGAAAACTTGCTGCCAAGTCAGATGCCGATAACACTCACGTCGTTCAAGCAAGCAGGCACTGCATCTGCTTCTGGCTTTGATCCAGCATAGCCAGAAATACTTTCAGCGTCTCGCGGCTCGCCTGTAAAAACTCTCGTTCCACCTCCGCCTGCTCTCTAACAGAGCCCCATTCTACCTTAATCTCACGAGCGAGGGAACATACTTCCCATTTTTGCTGCTTCTGATTGAGTAAGTCTGCCCACGATGCAGCAGCCTCTTCCTGTCCGCGTGCAAAGGCAGCGTTAGATGCATGCTCACTACAAGCTTCTGTGTGGCGCAACTGGTCCTGCAGGGATGCGGTGAAGGCAGAGCGCTCCTCGTCCAGCCTTTCCCTCGCCTCAACGCTGATATGCAGCTGTTGCTCCAAGAATGAGACTTGCTTCGCGAGTTCTTCAGCCTCCTGAACGCGAGAACATTTCGCGGCGTGCAGCTGCTCCTCCAGCTCCTGCAGGCGAACGAGGCGTTCCTTCGCTGTGTTCTCGGCGGATGCCACTTGTAAGCGAAGTAGAGTGACTGTGCCCGAATCCATAGGAGCGGGAAGCTCCGTAGACGTATCGAACACCTGGTTAAAATGGTGCGCTGCGGGCGAAGGCGTTACATCCGGTAATAAAACCTGGGATATCGACCCATAGCCACCCGGCGATGGCAGAGCAGAGAGGCAAGGACTTTCAGGAACTTCAAGTGCAAGAACGCCGACGTTCGGTGAAGGGCCAGCTGGCGTAAAGGGCGCCTGAATCTCCGAAAGCATTTTTTCTACCTCCTCCTGTGCAATTATCTGTGATCCATCATTTGCCAACTGTTCCCAAGACATTATCGAGCCGCGATTTGCACTGTTGGCTTTGGGAGGGCGGAGGCCAGGTGTGCTCTGTGAGGTCGGAGGTGCAGGTGACAGGTAAGAAAGATTCGCTCGTGTAGGAAGGAATAGAGAGGGGCGCGAGGGTGTTTCAGGTTCTGACTCATTGTGTTGAGGTCGAGCAGTACGAATCCTGGGGATCGCAGGTGTGGGTGCCCCAAGAGGAGCGGCAGGGGCGAGGAGAAGTTCAACGTCATCAACTTCAATGGAATCTTCGCTGTTTTCCTCCGCAAGCTGCGACAGTGGCGTGGGCGTTGTATTTCTGCCAAGGGTTGCCGTAGAATGTTGACGAGTGTGATGAGCGAGGGGTGACTCGGGTGCAGGGCGACCGGTAGAACGCAGAGGGCTTGATGTTTGATTATTTTTCGAGCGTCCGAACCCAAAGCCACTCTTGGAGGGTGTCTGGGGTGAACCCTGTGAGCAGACAGAGCTACGAGACGATGAAGACGACGAAGGCCGTGCAATGTTTGACTTGGACGCAGACGACGTAGTGGTTATCTTGATGCTTTTAGCTGGTCGCCCGGACTCTACCTTGGTAGGCGAGGCTTTCTTCGGCGTTGATGACTTGTTGATCTTGGAAGGCGTCGAAGGAGGCGTAAGGTTAGGCAAGTTAACCTTCACCGTAAGTGCTCTGTGAGGAAGAGGACTGATCGAACTCTTAAGCTTCTTCTCCTCCACGTTGCCTTTGGAAGAGAGGCTATGAATCTTGTCCTCTTCCTCTGATGAGCTCAGCCGCCTGCGAGTGCCGGCACGAGCAGGAGAAACAGTTTTCTTGGGGAGAACAGACTCTATAAGAGTGGACTTGGGCCGATATTTCGGCAATGCAGACGATGTGGGTGCAGGAGCAGTCCTCGGGCGCAGGGAAGACGAACGCTTCATAGAAGGACTGACACCAACGGCATCTAGCACCTTTAGCCCCATATCGTCACAAGCAGGAGCAGGTCTGAGGAGACCAGACTGTCTCCTGATACTGCGTGTGATGGTCTTGGATGGAGAAGCGTCTTCCTTGGCGTGCCCCGGAGTGGGGGACTTTGACTTTGAGGATACAGTGGCGTTAGCTTGGGGAATTGCGCTGGAATTCATGAGTGCAATAGCACTTAAACGTCTTGAAGAGTCCTTGGACTTCTTCAGGGCTTTCTCATTAAGCTTTTCGCGGTCGCGGGACTCCTTGTTGATTACATCCGCCAAGGCTTTTCCTACTGACGTGAAATTGAGTGAGTGTCGAATGGAGCTTCGCGTGATTGGTTTAGAAGGCCGTGATGGCTGGGTACTCGTTTTCTGGCAACATTAGGGGAATTGGAGCTTCGTTATGATCTGCACTGTGAATGTTTGGCTGACGTTCTTTCAACTCGAACCGAACCATTCGGACGCGTGTGGTCTTGTTTGCATCAGTGGGTCCAAATATATGACCCCTGTCCACTCGATTTATTATTACTCTACGTACATAGATACATCACCACATAAATCTTCCAACTCCCACTCGTTCTTTGTATAAAAACACATATGTAGTCGCCACGTTTATTACCATGTACCAAAAGCCCTCGACAAAAATACCGTAGGGCTGCACATCCACAACCTGAGCCCTGAGCAAGATATATGGCACCAGGAAGTAACGCGGTTCCAGCAGGGGAGTAGGCAGCAATGTAGGCAAAATTAAAACGGGCAGGACCAACGTCTGCAACAGAGATTGATCACGGGCTGATGTATGACGTCCAGGGTTAATGTCATCGATGTATTCTGGAATCTAGAAAACGACTCACCAACACGAATCCACCACGCCCAGGCGCACACTTGGTACCCCGGAATAAATAGGTAAGGTACTGCCGCATGCAGCATGAATACTCGACGCCAGATATAGAAGGTGAAATGACGGTTATCGGATAGGAGGAACGGGTGATGAATACTACGTTACATCCGTGAGGGTTAGGTTGGTTATCAACCAGTAAAGAGAAGCTCACGTGAAACGCTGGATAGTAATCCCCATGAAGATCGATATGATGGCCGTCAGAAGCGTTCTCCTACGGTATACGATCCATATTAGCATCCACGCGCTCACTCATAATTAACCCGGTCACCTTTTATTCCCAAACATGCGCAAAATGACCTCGGTGGCAACCTTCAACGGGCCGCTTTCACCACAAAGCACTGCCGGCCACCCGATCATCGTTGCAAACGCAATGAAGTAGTACAACTGTGGCACGTGAAATGAAGGAACGTGATTGGATTTGTCGCCTATACATAACATTGGGGGCTATCTCGATAATTATGGCCGAGAAAAACGCACCAAGCACGATGCCATCGTTCCAAATCACAAAACCACCGAAAAGTGCGAGAACCACCGCATAAGGAGTAAACGCGGGGAGTAATTCAGGTAGTGCTTTGGGGGCACTCATGATCGATCGAAGAAAGTCACCTGGAAATCGCGATATGATCCTATGAACACGGACATAGCAACCCTGTCGTGACTCACCCGGCCCAGCGCCCAAAGCGGGGGGATCGTGTAGTTCGACGTATCCACGTTTGAATCGCAAACGCATGAGCTGGCTCGCTGCATACGCGTACAGTACCCAAATAACATTGTTTTGACGGAAGAGGCAGCTCACAATTCCTAGCTAGGGACACCCCTGGAGTTGTGAGCATGCATTCTAGAAAAACCTAGGACAAACTGAATTACGTACCAAACCAGCAAGCCAGTGCCTATTCTGCGTTGCAGCAACTACGGTACACAAAACGGAAACAAGACTTGGAACCTCTGTATAATATAGAAAACCAAAAACCACGCTATTGGAAAGGTAGACAAAACAAGTGCCTCGATCGAGGGTGCTAATTTTGGTGGTGAACGACGTCGCTGATGGAATCCCAGCAATCGCGTGAGGACAAGCGGTAGTGCAAAGAGGGTAAGGGTAGTGGTGAGACGTAGCAAATTTAGGTTGCATTTGAACATAAAGACCCAGTGCAGCAGTACACTAAGTATGTATCTGCGAGATAATTGAGTTGTCAGAGGAATAGTAGGTACTTGTGAACGACGTACAGTCCCGGTGGTGTGGTGATTTTTGGGTCCCAAGTTGACCATTCACCCTTGCAGTAAGCCAATGCCTGCGGTACATGGAAAGGTTCATCCTAGATTATCATCAGAATTGCGGGTGAATCCGGTGAGAGGCTAACAAGACGAAGTTGAATATAGTCACCATGTACGGCTCAGTAACTACGGCATTGAACTCCTTCAAAACGGCCACTGCGACACCACAGTAGACTATGTATAATGCTCTCGTGTCCAAAGACATAGCGGCTTGCACGAGGAATATCTAGCAGGTGAGTAGTGTGGATCGGGGAGAATTGCAGTCGGCGCGGGTGCAGTAGTACGAGGTCTAAACGTCATCCTCGGCTACTGCCACTGAAAGGTTTCAAGTTACTACCATGAAGTCGCACCATACTATGGTTTCATATTGCAATATAGATCTCATGCATACAATTAACACAGGTTGCACTCAAGCCCGCTAGTTCTCATTCAATGTCATGTCACGATCCATTAAAGACTCGGTATTTCAAGGCCTTCCAGAGCAGGAATCGGTCTCTCTGCCTGCGGGGTGATACGTGCACCGTGACGGCGTTCATTCGACTTTCCATAGTCAACGATAGCAGACTGATGAATCGTGGTTAATGTAAGTCCAGCACGGCATGACGCTCATATGTCAGACTTACATGCGCAGTAACACGGTTGTCCCAGAGCACGACGGTCCCAGGCTGCCATTTCACTCGGGCTTGGAGGTCTGCGCTCTTATCGACATGGTCGTAAAGGAACTTCAAGATAGTCTCTGATCGCAGGTATCCATTAGCGTCCAGTTGACAATTCTCACAGTGATCAAACGCACCAGATTCCTCACGCTTCAGGCCAACAATACGCGTCGTGAACTGGCGGTTAACATACAATGCTTCCTCTCCAGTGACCGGGTGACGCCGCACGAGTGGGTGTACATGCTCCACTGGCTCACGTCTGACGATGCCGCCACGCTTACCGGAGCGCGAGAATTGAGCCTGCTCGACACCTGAGTGCACTGCGCTGAGCGTGCGCAGGAAGGCCACAAACGACGGCGAGAGCTTCTTAAGAGTCGATATCTGGGACGTGAACAATGTGTCTCCACCTGTCGTCGGCTGCGATAGGAGGAAGAACGTTGTGAGCCCGGGGGGCTGCAGCTCGTACGAGACATCGGAATGCCAGACAGTCGACGTGATGCTGTCCTCCCTTTCAAAGTTGTAGGACGACTTTGCATCCCTGAAGCTCATAGTCAGTGAGTAATGGATAGGCATGCTTGCACTACTCACTTGTAGACAAGGTGAATTTGCGGATAATCCTTGGGATGTCCGGACGTAGGATGAATGTGCAGCCTGCATAACAAATTAGTCAATAATTGTTCTAACACCAATGAAAATTCGACGTGTAGTGCAGCAGGAGCATTTGCCCAATTGAGCGGACAAAAGAAGAAGCACGACAAACCTTCCAAAGTGTCGTCCCCACTCTAGGTACGAATCAGGCCCTCTATCTATAAACTCGTGCTGGCCCCTGAAAACCATAAGTCCCCTTCTTGCAACCTTACAGACAATAAGCGACCACAGTCACATCACGGAAATTGGCATACTTCGAGCGCAAGTTGGTCCCTTCCCTCACTATCAAGTGTTTGCGAGGTTCACACCATAGACCTCTGTACCCAGATTAGGCGTCAGTTCCACCACGTTGGTCGCATTCTTAAGGAATGCACGGGGATCTGTGTGCTTGAGTGCGCGGAAGCCTGGATCTTCATGTTTGAAGGGTGTGAGCGGTGGGTATTGCTCAGGTGAGAAATGGGGAAGTAAATTAGCATAGGAGTATGGTTCTGTCTTCTGCTCTTGGTCCCCTCCGCGGAGGTTAAGTGCCGAGGTCTGCGAGATTTCAGTAACCGTTTCGACAGCGGACATACTTGCGGCAATGCACTTTAGGCTCGGTGACAAGTGACAATGAGGTGAGAACCACGTAGGAGACTGGAATTTGATTTTGTAGCACCGGTCTCGTATTCGCAATCCTGAGCAAGAAAGTTGCAATTAACGGCGCGTGACGTCTTATATTTTTAGTGTAAGGAACTAAGGAAGACCTTTTTGCATTTGCAGATACGTGACCAGGTCATCGGGCAGGTAGTCACGACTCTAAGCCCAGGCCAAAGCCAGGAAACGCACTATAATATTTTTTGGTCTACCCAATACTTGGGGTGAGAACATGACGCTAAATAGCATTTTCTGATTTCGACTTTTTATGCTACCCCTCTGCGCACATGCAAGTGAGCTGGGATACTGCATGTACTATGTGTAAAGTAATTGCGACCACGGCACCTTCACACCCATAGTAGGATAATAGTGGTTTGCAAGTGAATCATCAGCACGCAGCTATTTTATGCATTGAGCTGCACCTTACTATGCACAGACCCAGCGCTTTGCTAAACCGGCGTAAAGTTCTCAACGCGTCTCCATCACGTGATGGAAATCATTCAAGTGATAAGATAAGATAACAGGTTTCAAGTTCGGAAGCAATACGCTTTATTGTCTTTGATCCTCAACCAAATTGATTCGGTCACAACAATAGCAGCTCTCACAAGACAATAAGCATCTCTTGAGCCGTTGATCTCGACCTTTCCGGCTAGTAGAACCTTCACATAGTATGAGCTAACGTCACTCAATAGGTTCCTAGCTCTAGCCGCGTGTTTCAATGCCTCATGGCTACGAATCCATCACGAGTGCCACTTTGTCGTTTGACTCTTTGCATGATAGCATATCAGCGGAAGACGTTGGTGGTATCTTTCCCAACTTTTAAATGCAGTGGGTTATTTATTAGATGAGTCACGAACAATTAAGTTTTGATATGCCGATCACTACCCGAGCCTTCTCCCAGCTTTTTGTTTTGCAATGGACCATGTCAAATTAGGCTTATTGTATGATGCGCTTCCAGGGCGGAACTCTTCCACAAGTGGCCCTAGGTTCCGAAATAGATGAAGTCACCACGTCCACAGTTGTATAAGTGGACGTTTCGTCCGCCCTCAAAAGGCCGTCAGATCTCCTGGAATCGTTAGGAATTTCTTCTCCCCCCGTACTCGCACTACCTGTTTGCTGAGCCTTCCTTGTGCTCCTTGCCAGTGCTTGCCTTCCTCTCTCACAGCGCTACTCTCCCCTATTCGGTCTCAACATGGAGACTCAACCTTACAGCAGCGCGACGAACATTGCCGCCCTTCAGAACCTTCGCGCCAGAGGCGTGCCCGATGTCCCCGAGGATGTCGAATTTCTCATGGAGCATCTCAATGACCCTAACTTTGACTACTATGCCGCACCTACCTCTCCTACCTCATCCACCACTGAGGTGCATGAGCTTGAGCGCAAAAAGATAGCGATGTCAGAGTACTCTGGCGGTGCCTCGGACTTCGATGTTGAGTCACGAGTTGAGTCTACGCGATACTCGACAGCTTCGAGAACTGCCACATCTTCAATGTTCGAATATGACGAGTGAGTTCTATAATATTTTGCTACTGCTCTGCTGACCGTCATATGACAGCGAGTCACCTTACCCTGAAGTTCGCGCCGCTGTGGCCAGCATTGATGACCCCACCATGCACGTCAATACGTTCCGCATGTGGTTCTTGGGTATCTTCTATACTGTCCTCATCTCGGCTCTTAACCAGTTTTTCTCTATGCGCTGTAAGTTGTCATTTTTCTCATCTCTCATGGTTCCGTTTGCTCAAGTCACTCTTAGACCCTTCCATTATTATCACTGCCATTATTGCTCAGTTGACTGCCCTACCCCTTGGCAAAGGGATGGAGCGAATCCTTCCCACTACACGCTTCAATACCATGGGGTACATCTGGTCATTCAACCCAGGACCATTCAACATCAAGGAACACGTACTCATCACTGTCATGGCGAACGTTGTAGTCAGCGGTGCCTATGCCACCGACATTATCGCAACCCAGAAGGTCTTCTACAATCAGACCCTCACCACCTCCTATCAACTCTGCCTTGTCCTTTCAACGCAACTCATCGGGTTCTCTCTGGGCGGCCTCCTTCGTAGATTCCTTGTTTGGCCCAGTAGCATGATTTGGCCTGGGGCACTTGTCACCCTCCGCCCTATTCAACACACTACATAAGTCGTATGGCAAACCTGAGAGTCGCCACATCTCTCGGGAGAAATTCTTTTGTATTGCACTGGGATGCAGTTTTGTATGGTACTGGGTACCTGGATACTTGTGGACTGGACTGAGCGTGTTCAACTGGGTCTGCTGGATTGCACCCAACAACGTGGCCGTGAACGCACTCTTTGGCACCTCCACTGGTCTTGGGATGGGGATTCTTACTTTCGACTGGTCCATGATCTCGTACATCGGAAGCCCCTTGGTAACGCCTTGGTGGTCTGAGGCCAACACGGTCGTTGCCCTTGTGATCTGCTTCTGGATCATTACGCCGATCATCTACTGTATGTTCTCTCCCCCTTTCATTGTATAATGTACTCAGAGTATCTCGCAGTCACCAACACTTGGTTCACCGCGTACTTACCAATCTCCTCCTACTTCACCTACGACAACACTGGGTTGCAGTATGACGCTGCTCAGGTGGTCGTCAATGGCTCTTTCAACGTCGCGCAATACGAGGCTTACTCGCCCGTCTTTATGACGGCAACCATGGCTATTGCATATGGTGTTGCATTTGCCGCTTTCTCATCAGTAGTTGTGCACACATTCTGTGAGTTCTTTTAGATCTGCTTGTTGTCCCATTCTGACAGTTCTATCACAGTGTGGTACCGCCGTGACATCGTTCGCCGCCTCAAGAGCAGCCTCAGAGATGAGCGTGACGTTCATTCGCGCCTGATGCAGGCATACCCCGAAGTGCCTCAGTGGTGGTATGTTATCCTGGGCCTCATAATGCTTCTCCTCCTCTTCATCACGGTGGAGATTTTCCCCACGGATCTCCCCATCTGGGCTGTTTGCGTTGCTCTCGCTCTCGCTGCACTCATCGCGATTCCAGGTTGGCATGCTCCAAGCAATTACCAATCAGCAGATCGCCCTGAACGTCATGTTCGAGATGATTGGTGCCTATTTGCTTCCTGGCAAACCCATCGCTGTCATGATCTTCAAAGCGAGCGCATACATGGGTACAAACCAGGCGGTTGGCTTTGCTGGCGACTTAAAGCTTGGTCATTACATGAAGGTGCCCCCGCGTCTCATGTTCATGGCACAGGTCCTCGCTGCCTTCATCAGTTCCATCGTTGTCACCCTCGTGCAGGACTGGATGTTCGCCAACATTGTGGACATCTGCACACCCACCCAGCCTGAGTTCTTCGTTTGCCCGTCCACTGTCACCTTCGGAAGTGCATCACTCCTGTGGGGAAGCATTGGTCCCCAACGTCTCTTCAGTCCTGGTGCCATGTACAGCCCATTACTCTGGTTCTTTGCCGTTGGTGCCCTCCTCCCCATCCCCTTCTACTACCTTGCTCGCCGTTTCCCTCTTTCTTACTGGAGATACATCAACATCCCAGTGTTCTTCGCAGGCATCGGCGCCATGCCTCCTGCCACTGGCATCAACTTTGCGTCTTGGGCAATTGTCGGCTTCATCTTCCAGTGGTTCATGCGCCGCTACCACTTCAGGTGGTGGATGCGCTACAACTACATCCTCTCCGCTGGTCTTGACGCAGGCGTCACGCTCAGCCTCATCGTCATCTTCTTCGTTCTCCAGATGCCAAAAGGTGGAATTACCCTCAACTGGTGGGGTAACTCCGTCTGGCAGAACACTGCAGATGCAATGGGCACGCCCCTTTACGTGATGCCTCCTGGCAAAACATTTGGCCCTTCGACTTGGTCATAAATATATTACATTGGATGGATTCTTTGTATCACTACTTGTAAAATTCCCCCACTGCATGATTCACCACGCCCATTTCTTTCTGAGGAATTAACCGACCACAGCACTGTCCTTCACACGTGATTATACTTTGTTGCATTACTTTCGCATTATATCTTCGCATTACCATTATTTTCTTCGGGTTCTGGTGACTGCATCAACATACTTGTATGTACCGATGACAATGAAACAATATGATAAAAACATTGCCTGATTTTTTGTTGAGTCTTGTAGTCGAGGCAGACCATGGACGAATGGAGGTTGTCGTTTGTTCCTTACTGCTCTTGCAATACCCCCGATGGCAGTCTTCAACGCTTTCCATATCCCCACCGTAATTTTCAAGTTGCGAACCAAAGCCGATACAACAGCACGATGAAATACAGCACGAATAATATTGATGAGAACAAGAAATGTCATACACTTAAGCAGGCAAACCCCAGATCCTGACTTCCCTTCCGCTCGTAGCCCAGATCTCCTTGCCCTGCTCTCCAAACACTATATCCGACACATCACCCGCCTCCTCGAAACGTACAAGCTCATCCCACGACTTGTGAGCAAACACATGGATGCCTTCGCTGCCCGCGACTCCTAGGTACTGTGCGCTGTAATCGTACAACACCTTGTTGACCTTGAAACCCTTCCCCGAGAGAAATGGTGTGTGCTGTTTTCATCTTCCTCAGGTCCCAGATGGCAACGGAAGAGGGGCTGTCGGGAGCGAGGAGATGGTAGCCATTCTCTGAGAATGAGATTGAATTGATGGTGAAGGGTGAGGCATCTGGTGGTGTGATGGATGCAGCTATGTTACCGGAACGAACATCACATATTTGGATCTTGGATGAGGAAGTGCCCAATGCAAGGAGAGCACCGTCAGGATGGATTGCAAGGGATGTGAAAGCATCTTCTCCGGGGGCTGACCGGTACACCTGGGTGAAGTTGGAGAGTTCATGCAGTGAGTATGTCTTGTCGAGGGAAGACAATGCAAAGATGGAGTTCGTAGGATGTACAACGAGGCCAGTGAGTTCTCCCTTGTGCGTCCGAATGGTTGCTTTTGGTATGTACTCGCTAGAGGCGTTATCATGCGCCCATATTTTGGCGATTTTGTCTGCACCTGCAGATAAAATCAAAGTCGATTCGCCCTCGTGCTCGCGGAAAGCGACGTGGTTGACTTTCTTCGTGTGACCTTTGAGGGAGGCCAATACCTTGTCTGTACTTCTATCGTACAGCTGGACAATCTTGTCATTACCGCCCGTAAGGAACTGAGACGGGTTAAGACGGGAAACGGCAAGAGAAGTCATGCCAGCAGGAGAGGCTGAGTGCAACGACGGGATGGTGTGCGTTGCAACGAATGTCTTCACTTCTGCGGTACTCGTGTAACCGGCTGGAGCTTTGCGCTTTTTGCGGGTAGCAGAGAGATTTTGCTGGGTCTCGTCAATCTGGTCGACGATCTCTTTGGGGAGAGCACCTTCCTGAGTACCATTTTCTTCAGCCATTTCCACGTCTTCAGCCGCACCGCTTGCTGGAGCGATTCCCATAGTTGCCTGGACATTAGCCAGAGCTCTGAGACAAGGACAGGACGCGTCAGCGTGATGTAAGAAAGAGCATACTTAGAAAGCGCGTACTCTCTGGCAGCATCACGTTCTCTTATGAGACGGGCGATGACGCGACTGGCCGCATCTTGTGCATATAGTGCATAACTTAGCTCCTGGCGGGTGGAGTTGTTCTGTTGCTTCAGAGCAAACAACTCCAATACTACGGCGTCCCACTCATTTTGAAGCATGTGCAACAGAGCAGGGGTGGAAGTTGCGGCGGGAGGTCGTGGTGGCGCAGTTTTGGGGTCTGGTAGACGTGGATTAGCAAGTTTGAATTGAATTTTTCGGATTGCAGTATTCACGAAAAACCAACGATATGCGCTGCTGCGAGAAAAAGTGACAACGAAAAAAACTCACTGGCTTTGACGGTCAACAAGTCAGACTCCTCGAGCTTCTCCCCCGTCAACGGATCGGTGCCATTGTCGTTGATGTATTTAAGAATCAGCCGACGTTCGTAAACTTGGCCGGATTTTGAAGAAATAACCGGGTCCTGAGGAGGTTCGCCAGAGATACTACAGAAAAACATGGCTGCCTATATGAACGAAGACGTTCCTTAGCCCTTCATGAGTTGGAAATGTTTGTTGATCCTTATTTGCGACATACTAGATCTCCGGATACCACTACAGTATCATGGCGGACAAGAAGCAGCAGCTCGTCCTGTCCATAATCGACTTTTTAAACCAATCCATAGATGATGGCACTGTCAAACAAGACGACAGGGAAGGTCTTGAAGTCGCCAGTACGTTTTGTGTTTTCGTTCGTCTCTTTTACGTTCTGTGGCTCAGTGACGCGTATTTTAATTCACGCAGTTCAATGCATCGGCGAGGCATTTGGAGTCGATCCGTCGGACGACAAGCAGCGGCAACGTCTGGAAATTAAACCAGCGAAGCTACAAACCATATTCGATGTATTCTTGAAAACAAGAGACAAAGTAGCATCTTCGCCAGCATCCGCATCCACACCCTCTGCCCCTTCAGCAGAAACAAAGGCCAAGGCTGAGAAACTTAAGCAAACGGGAAATACGCACATGACAATTAAGAAGTATGATGAAGCCATTGACGCGTACACCAAAGCGATCGCGCTCGACTCTGCCAATCCCGTCTACTACTCTAACAGAGCAGCCGCATACGCTAGCAAAGGCGATCATGCATCTGCGATCCTCGACTCTGAAAAAGCCATCGAAGTTGATCCTAAATTCGTCAAGGCCTACTCTCGTCTAGGGTAAGCATCTGCTATCGATTTCCACGTAATTCGATATCATTCCACCGCTCCGCTAGACACGCGCAATATACTTTGGGAGACTACAAAGCTGCCGCTGCCGCATTCAAGAAGGGAATTGAGCTCGACCCCACAAACGCCAACCTGAAATCTGGTTTGCAAAATGCCTTGGACCGTATTCCTTCTGAAGAAGAAGATGATGATGATGGCCCGCCACCACTCGTACCTGAAGGTGACGTCCCATTGTCAAATACGCGCGCTGGCCCGGGTGCGGGTGCAGGCGGACTCGGTGGTATGGCGGACATGTTCCGCAACATGGGAGGAATGGGTGGGGCAGGTGGCATGCCTGATCTCGCTAGCCTCATGAACAACCCCATGATGATGCAAATGGCACAACAAATGATGGCCAACGGCGGAATGGAAAGGCTTATGTCGAACCCGAATGTCGCTAACATGGTAGGCATCTTCTCTCTCTTGTATATTTCAAGTAGTCATTTCGATCATTCTTTATTAGATGAATCGGATGCAATCTGGTGGAGCCGCGCCCTCCATGGAAGAACTTATGGGAGATCCAGAGCTGAGGGATCTGTGAGTTGATATCTACCCGTCCGTCATGTAATTTTGATCTCACCCCGCCGCAGCGCTGGCCAATTTGGAGCTAGACAGTGATTCAATGAGGATAACATGTTCGGAGTTTTGAAATAACGAGCTTACGCTGAACATATGTATGGATGATCCCCTACGGAATGGATTCATGATGTGACTTTGTTACACTCTCGCAAATGTACATGTTGTCAGCTGTGTATAGATACAATTAGGGACAGTGGATTCTCCACCAAATATTACAAATAGCAATTATAAAAGTACGCGGTAAATCTGCGATGCAAGCGAATGGCGGGCTGATAGGACAAAGCCATAAAAAACCGGGGGATGTGAGGAAGAGCGCAAAGAGACGAAAAGCAAATGAAAGCAATAAAGATACACCTAATAATTCAATAAGACGAAAGACAATACCAAACCAATGAGTAGGGCCAACATATGTTGGGGGTGGGTCGCAATTATGAGACCGGTAAAATATCGATGCGATCCCAGTGCACGCTGATTTTAGTCGGGGGCCCACGCATTATGTGGATACATGTCCGGGAGAGCAGCTCTGCGAGGGGGCGGGAGTAGGAAGAGGTTTGTGTGTTTGAGTCTCAGGGGGTTGTGAGCCGGTGCCATCCTTCCGCATCTTCTCGGCTAATTTACGACTCAGGGCAGGAGGTACCAGATCCAGCTGAACCGGAAGATCTGTAGGGTGACCCTGACACATTCGGTTAGACTCAGGTTCAGGATATTGCGGGAAGTTAACTTACATGGGCTAGATGATAACGGAGTCCACTGAGTTGCTTGTATCGATTAGGGCAGCCTTGATGCGGGCAAGAATATTGCTTTTTAGTCTTATCATCACCTTCGCCAGGAGATGCCTCCGCAATGGGCACATTGAGGCCATCGATGTAAGAGGTGACAAAAGTTGACACAATAGCGTGTTGGAAATGGGCTTTAGATCTAGGTCATAGTTAGTATTTTTGGCGATGAGAGCATGCATAGGTTCGTACATTTGTAAATGATACTGTAACCCATTAATACTCTACCGAACAACGTCATTAATGTGGCTCCCAAGGACTTCGGAACCGAAAAATAACGTACCTTCCAAGATTTTCCGCAACCGTCTAAGCCACATCTGTACGGCCTCTCTCCCCCAGAGTCTTCCGGATGCGAACTCTTGTTGTGGTCCGAAAGACCTCGCGAAGTAGTGTAACAAGCAAGGGAACTCCCCGCGGTCACCGGCCAGCAGCTCTCGTGACCGCACGCATATGGCTTTATAGAGGGGCTAAGAAGTGACATCACGTTAGTCAATTGCGTCACCTCCATGAGAATACGACCTACTCGTTTGTGGCGGGCAAGTCGGAGGATAGCCTCAGGGGAGCGTGAATATCAGTACGCTTCCGTGCGAATGACTGCCGTGGCCGTGCAGTTGGGCGAGGATTGGGGTCATCAGGGTTCGGTGACGAGGTGTCCTGGGGAGGACCGCGTTTGGCACCTGATCCTATGGCCTTGGGGAGTACACTGGCAGTGAGTAGACGCGTGTGCGCGGATGGGCTAATAGATGCTGAACGCTGGGCGGATGGTGCAGGATGGAAGTCGGGTGAGGTGGGTGGTGGACCTGAATCAACAACAGGCATAGGAGCCCGATGCCCGTTAAGCTTGGGTTCGTTCGATAGTGGATGAAAGTGAGGCTGCAATTGTCCTTTGAGCTGTGGCTGATAATAGTCTCCACGAGCTTCAGGTGCTGTCGTGGTGGGCCGCGACATTGAGCTCATGTCTTGGTGTGCAGGCACCACGTGTTCAGAGAGTGGATAGTACTGGTTGCAGGGTGTCAGGCGTAATGCACCGTCGATAGGTGAAACGGGGGGAACAATTGTCCGATGAGGATGAGGACGGGAAATACTCGCGAGAAACGCTGCAGACGGAGGATGAATCGGGCGATGACATCACAACATGCTGGACATCATGCTCAAGCTGTTGACGATGATGAACTACGTAGTAGCTGTCAGTCGCCTCGTGGGTTGGGCCTAGTGCCGTAGGGACCAATGCGGCAGAAGAACCCTGAGAAGCGGTTGGATAACACGAATCCTGAGACAGATGTGATTGAGAAGTCTCTTCATCACGGATCAATTGATGGTGGCATTCGTTATGATGAGGAACAGGCGAATAATACTCCGACGCACGTTGAGCAGGAACGGGTGTGTGAGATGGTGTGGGAGCGACGCTTCTCTGGATCTCATTATATTGATGTTGCGTAACGTGGTCCTCATACACAGGGCGATGTCCAGCGGCATAATCCGTAGCTTGAGTGGCGCTGACAAGAGATGGATCGAGGACTACCCCATAGTCAAAAATCGCGGGCGCATTGTCGGCCGGCGGTGCGGACGCAATTGGGTGCGGGACGGCGTGAATTTCCCCCGTTTGGTAAGAGCCGCTAGGGGCCGCGGTGCTTTTGTCATACCTCGTTGGAAGTGTGTGTGGAGAAGACAAGGCCGAACTTAATGATGAAGACGAATAATGAAATGGGGGGCGGAAGATTGACAACATGCTGTATCGACTGTGGATGGGAAACTGAGGGTTCTACACTGCCCAACAATCCCACGTCATTGTGAGACCTCACATGGCCATGTTGCAGTCCGGATGCTGGGGATGTCGGACCTCCGTCAAACTGAGATAGATTTTCACCCCAATACTGCCTGGGGTTGAGCATGGATGGAGGTGGCCAAGGTGTGGGATCGGAGTACGTTAACATAGGACTTGATGGTTCTGAAGACATAGTCAACGACAGTTTTGAAACCGCGACACCCTGAGGCTCGGTTAAAGTGTTTCTTTTTTCGCTCAAGAAGTCTCCACCTAAGAAAAAGCGGCCGTGAGTTACGTGAGAGTTATGTATACGTGCGGGAGAAACAGCACCTGTTACGACATGCTAATCCGCTACGCTGTAACTCCTGGCCGACTTGGCCCCACCGCCCAGCCAAACGTGAGTACGCATCAAAGAGTTTATCGTCCTCTTCCTTGGACCATTCGTCACGTCTGAGGGAAGGGTCAAGCGCCTCACGATAGCGTTTTGAACAAGCATCGTCGGTACGACCGGGTATGTGTCTCGCGATCACAGACCATTTTGTTGAATGAACTTTGTAGAGTTCCAAAAGTAGATGGTCTTCTTCTGGCGTCCAAGCAGATTTCTTCACATTCGGTGATAAGGAATGGAGCCATCGCTGTTTTTGAACGTATTGGAAAACTGAATTGGGATTATGAGATCAACACTGACCTTCCTGCAGGCCTTATTGGTCCTTTCCGGGACACAGTGGGCGACGGCTTTCCAGTTGTCTGACTCTCCATGGATTGCGACGGCATTGGCAAGAAGACGGTCCTCTTGAGCAGTCCATGGCCGACCGACGATGCGCTCGGTCATGATAAAGCTTAAGTAAGATAATAGGAAGAAGTCAGGAGAAAAATGAGGGGTTTAGTGCTAAGCCTCGAGGAAGGAAGACTGCATCACACAAATCAATTAGACAAGAAATGAAAATCTCCAATCACCACGAAATTACATAAAAGGTCTCACCTTCTTTTTGGAAGTTGTTTACCACGCCCTCGTCCTTCGTTGAGCATCAACTACTGACTGTTAGTAACATCAATCATGTCTGCTACTTATTCTTCAGACGAGGACACTATAAATGATGTATTTGGCCTGTCAAAACTTCCTGCCAGCAAAAAACCGCGCACGGTCCAGGACAAACTTGTGTCTCAGGCCGCCCCTCATGTTCTCGCTGAAGTGAGTCTTTCAAATACATCATTCATGCACCATGTCACTCACTGTGCCCTTAGGACCCTCTAAATCAAACATCGCTAGTGACACGGCCGACGGACACGCAGATGAATGTTAACATTCCCTACAGTGAAATGATGTTGCCGCTCCAGGGTCCCGAGAATCCATTCGGTGATTCAAACCGGTTTATCAATCAAAATGCACTCGCGGGCCATGTGGAAGAACAATCAATGTCAGACCATGCGTTCAATGCCCAGCATCTGACACATTCCATCCTCGGCTACTCGGTCAATCCGTCGATTGATCCCAACGCACCGTCTATTATTGGCTCAGTCGAAAAGGCTCGCGAAAATGGCTTTGCAACAATTGATACCTTGCGAGCTACCAGCTCTCAGAAAAAGGAATTGAAACGAAAGAGAAAGAACAAGGGAGATCTTGGTGTCGTCGAGGGTGAAGGCGCATATGTTGGACCTTGGGCTGCATGGGATGGAGAAGAGGAGAATTGGATTCTTGGATGGTGTTGAAGACACTGGTGATCAGCCGCAGGAAGAAGATGAGCCCGAGCCGGTAATTCACAAGAAGAAAGCGAAACCAAAGCTTGGCGCCTATGGCCAAGAAACCTCCGTCTTCCATGGAAAATCTATGACCGACTATCAAGGCCGAACATATATGTATCCGCCTCTGGCGGAAGCGCCTCATATTGGCGGTGAGGTAGGCTCCCAAGAGACATTTATTCCAAAGACGTGCATCCATACTTGGACCGGTCATACGCAAGGCGTCTCGGTGATCCGATTATTCCCTGAAACTGGCCATCTCCTTCTTAGCGGATCTATGGACACAAAAATAAAGGTACGCCAATTTTTTTTAACCTATTCGGGCCTAAATCCACTCATTACCGCTAGCTGTGGGACGTGTATACTCATGGAAATTGTCTCAGGACTTTCCATGGCCATACACAGGCCGTTAAGGACGTCACGTTCTCTAACGATGGTCGAAAGTTCCTGTCGTGTGGATATGACCGCCAGATGAAACTATGGGATACCGAGACTGGCCAGTGTCTAAAGCGGTTCAGTAATGGCAAGACTCCCTATGTTGTGCGCTTCCATCCGGATGAAGACAAACAACACATATTCCTCGCTGGTATGTCGGATAAGAAGATTATTCAGGTACGTTCTCCTGCCTATCTCGGGCTAAATCAACTATTGAATCCGACTATGCAGTATGACATGAATTCCGGGGAGATAACCCAAGAGTATGACCAGCATTTGGGTCCTGTCAACACTATCACTTTCGTCGACGAGAACCGACGTTTTGTGACGACGTCGGACGATAAGACCATCCGTGCTTGGGATTACGATATCCCAGTCGTGATAAAGTACATAGCAGAACCTCATATGCACTCGATGCCAGCAGTAACGCTTCACCCTTCAAGTGCGTTTATTTTTTCTCACATATTAACCATTGATCTGACATATATTTTGCTTCTTGTATTTGTAGAGAAATACTTTGCTGCGCAATCGTTAGACAATCAAATTCTTATCTACAGTACAGATAATTTCCGGCAAAACAGGAAGAAAAGGTTTGCGGGACATTCCGTGGCTGGGTATGCTTGCCAGGTTGGGTTCTCTCCAGATGGCAAGTGGATAAGCAGTGGTGACGGCGAGGGGAACGTGGTGTTCTGGGACTGGAAAACGGGGCGTATTAAATCCAGGCTACAGGCTCACTCAAAGGTTGTCATCGCACATGAGTGGCTACCACACTGAGTCGGTAAGTTGGCTCTGTTTATTTTGTTCCGGTTCCGATGCTAACTATTTGTGCAGTCTAAAGTTGTAACGGCGTCGTGGGATGGCTTGATAAAGCTATGGGTATGTCCCGTCTTCGATTTTGATCTACCCATTGTAACGCTGGATATAGGACTGAGTATTTCAATACTCGCATCTATTGTATTCTGTATGCATACATCATATATTTGTTTGACCGGTCAGGTGCTGTAAGTCGTACACCGGCGCAGTGATGAACTGGATATGTGCGGCCACAATCTGGCACCACATCGGATCGTATGAAATCCTGTGGATCCGATCCCATACTGCCAGGAACAGTGGCTGGCCGTTGTTCGTGCGACAGGAACAAGACTGATGGAAAAAGATGGAAACCGTAGGCGCTTGGCAAATTGGAAGCTCGTTTGCCTCGACAACGAATTCTTTAAGCCGACAAAATGCTTCTAGTAGGGTCTCATTGGGCAGATAACCAATACTCCCACCGCCGTGTGGGTCAGAGGCACTACAAGCGTCATCGGAGAAGTCCTAAGCTATGTGCTTCGTTATGGTGATTGGGTGATTAAACGTGATGATCACAGTTGTCAAGCTCGGTGAAGATCAACAGCGGATTGCTGTCGAGATACATACCGAGCAAAAGGTGAGCCAATTATGAGCTAACAAATTCCAACAAGCTTTTGTATCTACGTTCTCGTACGTGGGACATGATAGAAAGGTGAGTAGTTATCAATATGGTTTTGAATTTGAAGCTGAGGCCTAGGGTCCCTTGTGGGTGGAACGGGAGAAGCCTATAAATATTAACTTCCAGTACCGAGGACCCCGGGTATATGGATGATGGATATCTAAGATGTGAGAGTGAAAACTTATGGACCTGCCACCCGGTCACATTGACCGCTTGAATGTTGTACGACAGTCAACGTTAATGCATATTAACGTTTTGCAATAATAAGATCCAGCAAATTGCCGCAGATAAATGCGGCGTATAGCTAGATCTTAGATTCTCTTCGCCTTAAGTATACTGTACTGTTGTTCCTAGACCCGGCGGCCATAGAGAGACTGTTCCTGAGCACCCGGAAGAATGTCGACCGCATGGATCATCATCCCACTTTTCTCATAGTCTAGTCTTCTCCCTCGTCATATAAAAGCAAGTCTGTCACTCGTTAAGCAGACATAACCCAGTCAAATCATGTTCCCTTCAAAGTGGTATATCCCTGTCATTCTAGCTTGTCTCCTACAAGTATCGCTTGCCCTACCGGTTAGTGTTTTGAGTTATGTTATGCTTCATCTACCCCCGGAACTGATGATCTGAAACAGCTCGTGGCTAGGGATCCTGAAACTGTAAGAAATATATATATATATATTACAATGACGCTTAATATCTGGACCCACAGGATGTCGCTCCAGTCACAGATCAATTTGGTGGTACTGGAGGCAGCTCTGGGGCTGACTGGTAAAAATTGCCCTGTAAGTCCGTATATGATATTGGGCACTGCGACTTGTATTAAATATTCTTCAAGACCAGCATCGTCACGACTTCAATATGTTTTACGTGCTTAAAACTGTGCCCATGATCCCCTAGGCGGCACGCCCAGTGTCTGTTTTGACTTCTTTTTGCGTTTTATACCAGTGTCCTCGTTATAATATTCTCACACTCGTTTTATACCATGGAACGACATCCCACTTGCCTTGTATTATCGTGTATTCCTCCTGTTCCCTTTTTACGAATTAGCTACTTAGTCACCTCTCTTTGATTGTCTCTGTCTTGATTCTTCTTTCAGTTTGCATACACACGACTTTGCAGTATCCGATGAATGAATTGTTGTTTACTCCATTGCGCTTTTTCGAATTGGAAGTGCTTTACTCCTTGCAGGCATATAGGTCGATCTCAGGTTCTAGCTTTATTGACTGTGGGTCCACGGTTACTTAGTTCATCGATCTGGGGATAGTCGTTCCTGGTCCACGTGAAGTTAAGGGCAGGCGTAGTCGCGTCAATATCCAGTGTCGCGTCAACTTTTACTTTACTTGCTACCATGTCGATGCTCAACGAGCCCGTTCCTCAAGATGATCTTATGCGCGACAGAACTCGTATATTCGAGGAATTCCTCATTTCAGATTCCCCAATTTATAATTACAGAGACGACATCGCTCGCATGCTCCGCACAGATCAAACCCGTCTAATAGTCAATATCGATGATCTCCGCGACTATAACAGAGAGTATGCAGATGGCTTGCTCAAGCAACCTATCGATTTTCTTCCTGCATTTGACGATGCCCTCATCGGTGTCGTCACTCAAGTCCATGACACCGAAAAACACGAGCTCGAGGGAAAGAACTATCGCATCGGCTTCAGTGGCTCCTTTGGTGACCATCATGTCAGCCCACGTACCCTCAAATCAGAGCATCTTGGAAAGATGATCTCCTTAGAGGGCATCATCACGCGTTGCTCACTCGTCCGCCCAAAAATGCTCAAATCCGTTCACTATTGCCCCGAAACCAAACTCTTTCACGCTCGCGACTACCGCGACGCGACCACTTCAACATCAAATTTGCCACCAACCTCCACTGTCACACCTCAGCAAGATGACGATGGCCATCCACTCCAGATGGAATATGGTCGTTGTGTCTTCCGAGATCACCAGCGTATCAGCATCCAGGAGATGCCCGAACGCGCTCCAGCTGGCCAGCTACCTCGTAGTACAGATATTATCCTTGATGACGATCTGGTAGACAAATGCAAACCTGGCGATCGTGTTCAACTGGTTGGCTTCTATCGAAGTGTGGGAGGTGGCTCAAGTGGCGCCTTCAAGTTCGTTTTCCTTTTTCCCTTGAAATCTATCACTCATCTTCGGATTGCCTTACAGATCCCTAATTCTCGCAAACAACATCAATCTCCTTTCCTCCAAGATCGGAGGCGGCATTGCACAAACACCGTTAACCGATACTGATATTCGGCAAATCAACCAGCTTTCTAGACGACGCGACATCTTCCGCCTTCTTTCACAGTCTCTTGCTCCGTCCATTTATGGCCACGATAAAATTAAGGAAGCTATCCTTTTACTCCTGCTGGGTGGTGCAGAAAAGAACCTACCTAATGGTACCCATATTCGTGGCGACATCAACATGCTCATGGTCGGCGACCCGTCGACCGCAAAGTCGCAACTACTTCGCTTCGTGTTGGGCACTGCCCCACTCGCTATTGCTACCACCGGACGGGGAAGTTCTGGTGTCGGTCTAACAGCGGCTGTCACCACGGATCGCGATACCGGCGAGCGAAGGCTCGAGGCAGGCGCAATGGTTCTTGCAGATCGCGGTGTTGTTTGCATTGATGAGTTTGACAAGATGTCAGATGTCGATCGCGTGGCGATCCACGAAGTCATGGAACAACAGACAGTCACCATTGCGAAAGCTGGTATCCATACCAGTTTGAACGCGCGGTGCAGTGTCGTTGCCGCCGCTAATCCGATCTATGGCCAAGTGCGTCAATCTACGTGCATTTTTATTAGATTCCTTAGTCTGACTACGTTATTTATTAGTATGACATCCATAAAGATCCTCATAAGAATATTGCATTACCCGATTCCCTTCTTTCGCGTTTTGATCTTCTCTTCATTGTTACCGATGATGTTGATGAAGAACGAGACCGGAGAATTGCAGATCACGTACTCCGTATGCACCGTTATATGCCACCCGGAGTTGAAGACGGTACTCCTGTGCATGACAACCTGTCACAGCCCCTTGCCATTGACGGACCGGGTGTACAATCGGCGGAGGTGGACGGTGAGATAGAGTCCAGCCCCTTCGAGAAATACGATCCCCTGCTCCATGTTGGCCTGACGGCCGCGAAGTCACGAACACGGAGAGGCAAGCAGGTGAAAACGGAGGTGTTGAGCATCGCCTTCATCAAAAAATACATTCAGTACTCGAAAAGCAAGCCTGCTCCAGTCCTCACGAAAGGCGCGGCTAACCATATCGTGAATGTTTATGCCAACCTTCGCAATGAGGACGAGGGTCAAACCAATAGGAAGAAGGTAGTTTTTTTCCCTGCATCTTGATTTATGTTCCGTTTTTGACGGATCATATCCAGACAGCTCCTCTAACAGCACGTACACTAGAAACCCTCATTCGTCTATCCACCGCCCACGCTAAGGCACGTCTCTCTGTCAAAGTGGAGTCTGAGGATGCTCGCGCGGCAGAGGAGATAATGCGGTATGCACTTTACAAAGAAGTTGCGAAGCGGCAAAAGAAGAAGAAACGCAAGCTTAACCGCGCGGGAGCAGCTGGCGGCAATGATCAAGATGACTCTCAAGATAGTTCCGATGAAGATGAAAATGATCAGGGCGAGGATGAACAACCCGAGGTCCCCGAACGCATGAGTATGCCTCCTCAAGCACTAGCCAACAAGCAGCCTGCAAATAATCAAAGTAGTCAGGACACGTTGTGGAATGACAGCAGCCACGATCTCGCGATGGATACGTTACCAACAGTTGCTACAGAACCGTCACAGGAGGGCGGTGTGCCTCCAGAAAGGTTAGCCTCTCGTTCTCACCGTTCTCTCACGTCTCTGGTGTATCACTGGAGGCCTGACTTGATGAGTATAACTCTGACGCATTTTTCTCCCATGTGTTTTTGTTTTGACAGGCTACAGCTCTTCCGTGCACGGCTAGCGAATCTATTCTCTACACGCCTCCAAGATGAGGAACAGGTGTTCTTGGCGGAACTTGTGGAAATGGTGAATGAGGGTCTACCCACGGGTGCATTGTTTGGGACTGCCGAGGCCACCGCAGCGTGTCAAGTCATGTCAGACGCAGATGAACTCATGATTAGTGAAGGGATCGTATATAAGGTCTAATACCCTGCATACGCCTTACTGTGTTCCATGAGGCAGACTGGCCCATCCTTCATCTCGCTTGCTTATCGTCTCATTGTTATATCACATTATTTTCTTGGTTGTAATAATAGCTCTGAACTCGAGATATCGATCAATAAGAATGATCTTTACATGAATAAATCACCGGACCGTATCCATCACTGAAGTCGAAGCATATGGTGGTCATAAGGTCTGAACAGATGATCAAAATCAACGTTGGAACCCTGTCATGTTATTATTATCTCGTCCCCTCAAGCAAAGCGATGGTTCGAAAACTAAACCACATGTGTTCTTCGCAGTATGTCATCAGACGATTCTCGCCATTCTCCTCTCACACTGCTACACGGGCGTTCGCCCCTGCACAGTCGGCGACCAAACGTTTACAGATCATCTCGCAGTCGGAGCACTATCTTCACCTCTTCTTTCCCTAATCCCCCAGATCCGAGGCTCGTGACGGCATCCAAAGCATCCTCCCAAGCATCTCCTTGCCCACCAAGAACTTCCTTCACGGCCCTGTCCACTTCTTGTCTGCTTGCGCCGAGGAGTCTGCCTGCGACTAGTAATCGTGCCCAAGGACCCTCAGCCCTAGCCCGCGAAGTCCTCAAGGCGACCTGACAAGTTTCGGCCCACAATTCGCTTTCCGCGTGAACGGAACGTGCCTGTTCCCATGCGAGTCCCGTGCGGAATTGTCCCCGCGTAAGCCCCGGGCGAAAGAGAACTTCGCGCTGAAGAATGTGCTCTGCGATGTGTGTTGCTATCCGCCTATATACGTGCGTTGTCACTGCAGTCGGAAGTGTATTGCGGAGGAAGTTGAGGTGAGCAGATAAGAGAGCAATAGATGGGAGGAGACTTGGGGGCACGGCGATGCCATCATCTGCATGTTGAGTGTCACTTCCATCCTTGGGACTATGTGATAGCAGTCACTACAACGGACGGTATAAGCCGAGTAGAAAAACGAGCGACTTACGATGTGATAGCCACGAAATGTGGTTTCAAGGCAGCTTCAGTTTCACCACAAACTTGACTCACAAGCATATCCTCCGCTCTTGATGCAAGCTTCGTGTACTGTGTAATTAACTCCTCAAAGATAGTGCATTCCGGGGTATCACTCTTGCTGGACTGATGATCTGCAGAGTTCGGCAGCGAGGGATGCATTTCCGCCCGAGTACGTAGGGCTGCCCGATGGTTAATTTCTGTCCACAGTTCCAAAAAGAACTGTCCGCAGCAGGTTGTTTAGCTTCAATGAGGTCCCGAAACGACAGCCGCCTCACCTCTTCCTCTCCCCATCGTTGCATTGCAGACTCCACGTATCGCGCGCTGAGCAACGCCTTGCACAACCGTTGACTGCCCTCAACACCTCCAGTCAACTTACGCGAGTCTGTCTTTGCCCCTTCAACACCTAGTGCGCCAGGGACCGCTCGTACCAGAGCAGACGAAAGTGTCTCGAAGGCGTCCAGGGAAGAAGACACGCGCGAATAATACTGCTCGAGGATAGGAAGCTGAACATGAATAAGGAAACGTGTGCGATGGGCGAAAGAGGGAAGTGGAGAGTAGCGATCTGTTTCACCTTCAATGACGAGCACATTAAAGGAAATTCATAACGTACCAGTAACTTGTCCAACGAGAGCCTTTATTCGACGGGCTGAGTTCGTAGCCTTCAATTCGGCCATTGAGCGAGAGAGCTTGTATTCATCGGAGTCATTTGATTCATCGTCAACAATGACCCATGCGTCTGAAGAACTAATGATTTCATTGTACTGGTCCTCGGCGACTGTTAATCAACCGGCTTAGTCTTCCCGACAGACAGACAGATGTAAAAATAATCTTACATTTTTTCTCGCCTTCTAACCATGCGTCAAACCACTCCTTCTGGCAAAGGATGACAGAACTAACGCCTCCTTTCTCCTCAGTCTTCTTTGCCTCTGCGCCGACCACGAATTCATAACCTAATTCACGCATATTGGAATCGAAAATTAATGCCTGATCAACTGTGTGCGCCAACAGGGCAGGGTGAGAGATCAAAGTCGGAACAGTGCGCCGCAACTTGCGCTCCAGGATTGGGATAAGGAAAGTGACATAGTTTTGCTGATGTTGCGGTCTACCGTCAGGCTGCAAAGAGCGTGCTTAAAAGTATCAGCTTACCCATGCATTAACACGTTGGTATTTTGTGCCCAAAAGTAAACGTTGTATGACATTGTCCATGAAGGGTCGATGGTCGTGAGCCACATTCATTATATGTGAGAGATACCACTCTGGCTGTTACGAATAATCAATACAGGTGGTTGAAGATGACGAGAACCACACCTTGTCGAGACGATTTGTCTCTCGTTCAGTTTCGAAATGGTATTTGAAACGAAGGGATATTGCATGCGCGAGTGTTTCTAGTGGGTATAAGCCCTGAGAACCTATTTCAAGTTGGCTTATTGAGCCCTCGATATTCTCGCCGCTGTGTAATTTCAAATAGCCCGTAATGCACAATTCAGCTTCACTGACATTTCTTGTAGCAATATTAAGTCTTTGAACGCAGATTCGAAGGATTTGCGGTCATGCTCGCTCGCAGCAGGGTAATCGACAGCCATTGGCCATTGAAGATTTTCCAGCGCGGCATTCAGTTTGCTTAATGAAAAAACGATAAATTATCAGACTGTTCCAGGGCGTAAATCCAGACTTACGCAGAAAATATCCCTTTTATATCTAACCACGTTTTGTCACGAGTGCGTTGTACAAATGTAACAAGATGTAGAGACTGCTCGACACTCCCGATATCTTGCACACTGTCGCATGTTTGAACAACATTATCAACGAAGGCGCTTAGCCTATTGTATTCTGATGTCGACGATTTGGAAAGTGGGGATGGTGTACCACGCAACTGCGCCAATGCTCCTTCACTGAGATAGAATTATTTGTATCCATCAAGGGTAGGTAAAATTGATAAATGGTGCACACCTCAAAGTCAATGTACGTTCGATGACAGCCACATATGCCCGCACGCTTTCGAGTTCCTTCAGTATGCGATGCATAGTCTCAATGTCCTCAAGGAGAGTGGGATTAGCTTCCGATTTCGACGGAGAAAGAGATGAGACGAGCTCGTGCGACAGGTAAGTCGTCTCATTCTCTATCGACTCTCTGTCCTCCCCAAGCCCACGAACAGTGTCAAGGTTAGCGAGTGCTGCCACGCGAGTCTTGGTTACGAGTGAGTCAATCGATTGCTGAGATGCAGAGAGCTAGCTGACAACGAATAAACTACCATGAATTGTTCAAATCAATCAACCCACCTGACGCTGCAGTTCCGAACTCCGTGCTTTTGTTTGTGACAGGACTTTGTCAATCCCATCGAGGTCGTCAATGTGAGCGAAGCTGGAGTTCAAGTACTCTAGTGCAGACCGATGCGCAGCAGATACATCAGGCGGTTCAAGCAGGCGCTGTATCTTCTGTGAGGACATTGCGATAGTTGAGCTAAACTGAATCTCAGTCACTACCGTGACCGCGTTGCAAGCTGACACTTTATGTAATTTCAAATTCAAATCATGCCGTGCACGTGGTTATCTAATCTCTACACCACACAACTTGATCTTCCCACTCGATGGCGTCAAGATGAGTTGAGAAGACGAACTGTGTCACTGAGTAATACCCCACGCTACCTGAAAAATCTCCTTCTTGAACTCCCATGGCCGAGGTTGACTTTAAGCAAGCAAACGAGAGCTACGCTGCCAGCTTCGGCGACAATGGCAAATTAAGTATTCCACCATCCAAGCACCTTGTTGTCGGTAAGTACTTGCAAGTTGCCAGCACATCTGTGAGAGCTCAGCTGGTTCACCAATAGTGACGTGTATGGATGCTCGCCTTCAGTAAGTGGTGATCAATAAGGGGGCGTGTCCACAAACAGTGACCGTTGAACAGCCCTGAGCAGTTCCTCGGCCTGAATTTAGGGGAAGCACACATTATTCGGAATGCTGGAGGCCTTGCGTACGTTCTAAACGGCCCACAACTCCAACGTTCTGCTGAACGAGTTCCCATGATATTTAGCAAAGAATCTCTTCGTTCCATCATCATTTCACAAAGACTCCTCGGAACTAGAGATGTGCTCGTCATTCATCATTCCGATTGTGGAATGCTCACTTTTTCCGATGAGCAACTTCGATCCAAGGTCATCGACGCACATCCTGGAGATACTAATGTGTCCGAGGCAGTAAACGACCTTGCAATTTGGCTCCTTCCCTGATTTAGATAGGAGTGTGAAAGATGATGTCGCATTCTTGAAGAATCACCCGCTTGTTCTAAAAGAAGGAAATATCACTGGATGGGTGTACGAGGTTGAGACGGGAAAGATCGAGAAGTCGTGTGATGAGACGACGGTACAAAGAATGGTCTGCATGATGTATATTGTAATCTAGTACTTCATGCCTGAAGAATGAGTAGGACCTCTATCAGTAGCAATCGAGGTTAGAAATGGATGAATGGTCACCTCTAGCGTTCATGAAGCTACAAACGGCTACCCTTCAACTTCGTGACATATCGCACGACTTCACTCCAGTCTCCAACTCGGCGCACCGAAAGACGGGTGTTTGCTTGCTCCAATATCTCGTCTCCTCGCTTCTCATCATCTTCCAGGAACTTTGGTCCTTCTCTTTGCAAACGAACTTCGTAAACCATATCGTTGCACTCATCAGAAGCCAGTGATAGCCGCTTATTTCCACCCATATGAGCCGAAAAGGAGTACCGGGGGAGGCTTTGTTACTCCATCTAACGGAATATGATAGGCGCAGGCCAATGCATTTTCCATCGAGTCGTCGATCAATAATTTGGCTCCGATGTCAATACAGACCTCCGCTTTGCTCAATTGCGTGGCAACCTCATGATCCTTTCTCGCACTCGTCAAGGCGTCTATGCCATCTGTCGCACGCTTTCCGGCGTTCGCAAACTGGCCAGTGCATATCATGCTATGAAAGCATCCGGGGAACCAACGTTCGACCCAAGCCCAGCTATCAGCGTGGGAATCTTTGCCCCGAGCTGTGACGATGATCAAGCGGTAGCCCAGCGCGCACAGGGCCTCTACGCCCTCGCGTGCACCAGGTACGGGCTGTGCCTGCGCCATCCGACCGCTTGTATAGAACGCTTTAACCTTTGAGCGCGTGGTGGAAGGCGTTCCCCAGAATGGATTCTGGAGGGGCGGGCAGATCCGACATGAATAATCACTGCGTTAGTAGGATACGAGTCTCTACTTGCCTTCCAGTAGAAATAGTCTGCACAACGTGACCATGATGCACAGGGAGATGTCAATTCATGACTTACAGTAAAAATCGTCAGTGGTCATTTGGGTACCATAAATCTCATTGTGCCCTTGATATATTGAACTAGCTTGCACCCTGGAGTGCTCCTCATGTAGATGAGTAGAATGCACGTACATTGCGCTACGACAGCATTGGTCGAACTCAACACGTCATCAAGATCAATTGCGATGACAGGTGCAGAGGAGGGGGGTATAGATTCCTTGAGTTCTGCAATTTGCTCGACAAGTAGTTTCGGCAGTGAGCTCTGGCTCGTGCTCTGGGCTGGACGCTCGGTAGGTATCATTTACGGACATGGCGGTATCGGCGGCTGCTCTTATGATATATAATGAGGGGAGACAAAGAATCAGGGTTATTACAATTCGCTATCCATAGAGTCTTGGTTTTTCGGATGAAAGCCGAATATTGATAAGGCAAAAAAGTATAGGCTCAATATAGGTTTGTGAGTTTATCACATGTCACCAATACCCTATGTACACGAGTTCAACGTCCTTGGTAGGCGCGCTTGAGGCCAATTGTCACTATCATTTAAATCGTAGGGCGGTAATCGCCTGAAAACTCAACCTGAGGTAGGATGGTGACCTCGAAGCTTCGACTGTTGGATCAGCGAGCGAAGCAACTCGCGCAGGTGTATGCCGCACACCGGCCTCTGGTACAACGAGGACTCACAGTCGGCTTCGTCCTGTACGTGCTAACGGCCGCATATCGTGGTCTTGCCGCCCGCCCAACCACAAGGAGGGACAAGGAGAAGGATTCGGCAGATCGAAAGGACGGAAAGCCCGCCCGTGTCGCTGTACGCCTCTCTTGCCTTTTCCCCAGACCACTCGCTCATATTAGCAAGCAAGGTTGATGCCATATTTTATCAAAGGCTGGGTATCATCTTGCGTATTGTCATACCAAACATACACTCTAAGGAGGCCCTGTTGCTTTTCATGCATTCAAGTCTCCTCATTTTCCGCACTGCCATCTCGTTGTATGTTGCCACTTTAGACGGAAAGTACGTTCTCCAGACAAATCAACGTGTTTCGAAATGTCATGTATGATCCTCATAGAATTGTTGCATCTCTCGTGCGCGGACAGTCTCTCCAATTTCTCCTTAACATAATACGATGGTTGCTGGTCGCAATTCCGGCTACTTGGACGAATAGCTGGCTTAGCTACATCCAGAATAAGCTCGCTCTCGCATATCGTACTCGACTGACCAAAGAAGTGCTCAAGATGTACCTTGGCGATCAGGCAGATGGCCCAGAGGGCAAAGTTTATTATAAACTTTGTTAGTTTTGCTTACTCTCTCAGTGGAATGTCTCAGTGACGTTTGTCATCCAGCTAATCTTGACGACAGGATAAAGAATGCTGACCAGTGAGCGAACTGCTAGATCAAATAAGGCATAATCGATCTCAGGTTTGAACAGGATGATAACTCACGATATACAACGGTTCTCCACGCATCTGGCCGTAATTTACGCGAACCTCGCAAAGCCAATCCTTGACGTGATACTTTACAACTACCAATTGTCACGGAATGTAGGGGCAGAGGGTCTTGTCCTTCTCACTGTTTTAGTTCAGACATCTGCTGCGCTACGTAAGTCCAACTTCTATTGAGTGCGTATACTCAGCTAATGTAGATGCAGTACGTGCTCTAACTCCTTCCTTTGGGACATACACAGCTCAATCAGCTGCGTTGGCCGGCTCACTTCGACATACACATTCTCGCCTCTCCGAGTTCGCAGAGGAGATCGCCTTTTTTGGTGGCGAAGAGACGGAGAAAGCGGTTAATCGAACGCGAATATGCTGCACTCGTTCAACACGAACAAGGAGTAATGAATAAGAGATGGTGGTACGGGTGCGCGGAAGAAGGTATTGTCAAGTGGCTGTGGGGCAGCTTTGGGGTATGTACCCGTCAAGCAGAGAGTTGGAACGACATAACATTTATTTTAGCTTGTCGTCTGCGCAATTCCTGTTTTCTTCAAGTTGCCTGGAATATCAAATTTTGACCTAGGCAGCCGCACAGAAGGTGGGCTATAACAGTTATTCCAATATAAAGTCGCTCAGCGTCCTACAGGGTTCGTGACAAACCGAAGACTACTTCTTTCTTCATCAGGTGAAGTCATTCGATATTTCATATTTCACTGCTGACATGCATCCATAGATGCCATAGGTCGCGTGATGTACTCGTATAAAGACCTAGCGGAACTCGCGGGCTACACCTCACGAGTATCCCTTTTGCTTGACACTATGTCAGACATGCGAAAGGGCAAGTTTGAGAAGAGTCTTGTGAGTGGTGCGACTGAAGGAGAGAATGGAGAGAGTATGCGACAAGTTCACCCGTAACGCAAGCACTGAATGCAACACCTTTAGTTTTGCGGAGCCGCGGACAAGTTCTCCTCTCGGACGATATTCGATTTGAGAACGTCCCAGTCGTTACGCCAAATGGTGACATTCTCTTGAGAAGTTTAACCTTTCATGTCAAACCTGGGGTAAGATTGTCTTCAACGCGCATGTGTGGTATCTTATGCTAAACAAAATTTGAAGGAACACCTGTTGATTGTTGGTCCAAATGGTGTGCATCGCTGCTTTCGTGATTGTTGTCACTTCACTATGGCATGTAGGTTCCGGGAAGTCTTCGCTGTTCCGCATTTTAGGCGGCCTTTGGCCTGTTTATGGTGAGCTTGGTATACTCGGGCGATGTATTAGTTTCATGACGACTCCAGGCGGCATTGTTCGGAAGCCCCCCGCGTCAGATTTCATGCTCATACCCCAACGACCCTATCTTTCACTCGGAACTCTCCGTGACCAAGTTATTTATCCGCACTCGCAACAAGATATGGAGGCCCGTGGGTGAATGATATCGCGTTTATAAATTTAATTCTAAGACATGTTCTAGGTGGAGTGACAGACGCGGACCTCCTCGCGGTACTTGAAAGGGTCCAGATGGGAAGCATTGTTGAGCGAGAAGGGGGTTGGGATGTTGCGCACGAGTGGAGAGACACGCTAAGCGGCGGCGACAAGCAGAAGATCGCTTGGGCACGACTCTTCTATCACAGACCCAAGGTAATCACGTACCTCACTCTTGTCACTGAACGTTAATCAGCTTGCTGCAGTATGCCATTCTTGACGAGGCAACCTCACTCGTCCCTCCTGACATGGAGGGTACGATGATGGAACAGGCAACTGCCCTCGGAATTACGCTACTCACTGTATCTCATCGTCCATCATTGTGGAAATATCACTCGACGATATTGCAACTGGATGGTCAAGGCGGATATATCTTGTGCGTCTCGTTCTTCATCTCTTACTGTAATTGCACATTTAACTGTCCTTGTAGCACGCAACTGGATGCAGAGAAACGTTTGGCCATTCAAGAAGAGAAGCAGGATCTGGAGGCGAAACTGCTTGAAATGTGAGTGTCCTGCTTAGTTGCCAGGCTGAAAATCTTCATATCTTGCCGTAGACCGAAGATGAAGTCACGTCTCGCGGAACTGCGGCTTATCGCGGATGCAAATAGAAGTATATAGTAATTTTGACTGTAGATTTGCTGTAGATACATATCATTATCATAGACCATCGATCGATAAGTCAGGGTAGATGGCTATCTAATCAATGGGATGGATCAGATAAACGCGGAAGAGATTCTGTTCGGACGCGGGAAAGGTGCCGAGATGCCGTGGTGTGCCGGAACCAATCGCAATTTTATCACACTAGTGAAGCCAGTGGAGGTGCAGTGCCGGGTATATCGTCCTGTTCCTTCCGCACGACCACTTCTCTCACTTCCGCGCCGTCATGCACATCTTCTCCCAGTCTTTCAAATATGAGTGAGTATTTTCCGTTTGTCGTCTACAGTGTGCTCACTATGTAATTGCCAGTCACTCATGGTCTCACGTCGTCATCGGAATGTGGCATAAATACCCGAACCCACATTGTACTCACGTCGTAAACGTCGATGTCCTCGATCGTACGATTGATCCAATAACTGGAATAATACGGACGGAGCGTGTTCTTGGGTGCAAGCAAAAGGCTCCTTCGTGGATAGTCAAGGTCAGCCGCTCTAATATTTGCACACGACATGGGATTTATTCTTGTATTCGATCATTTTAGCTCTTTGGTGGTTCAGAGGATGCCTTTGTTCGTGAGATATCCTTCATAGATCCCGCGACGCAAACTGCAACAATAACATCCGTCAACCTCTCGCTGTCTCAGTTCGCTACTTGCTATGAGCGAATACAGTATAGACCAATGTCCTCCACGCAGACATCATTTACGCAGACAGCAGAGATACAGGTGCGGATGGCCATGTGGAGGAGTATGACAGACAAGTTTGAGGATTGGTTGGTTCAGCGCTTCGAGCAGAACGCTATTTCAGGTAAAGCTGGATTCTCGGACGTGCTCAGAACAATGTGGGAGGCCAAGGAACAGCAGACTGCACCATCATAGAGCAGGGATATCCGGTCTGTTTCTTTCTTTCACTTGCACTTTTAGCATGTTAGATGCGTCCCATGGAACCTCTCTAGATCACATTCAAAACGTCTGCTACTTGGACGACTTATGTTTATTTTACGACAAGGATTCCCCTTCGGTCGGCTCTACGACAATATATTATGTTTATAGTAGCAACTCAGGAAATACTACATTAGCATAGTCTCCACAAATAGACAGCGTCTTTCCGCGTTTTCACTCTCCACAACACTGTGCACAATCGACCGTGAGCGAAGGGATCAGTCCGGAATTCGAGCATGGTATGTGCTGGCGTCAAATCTTAACATCCATTAAATGTAGTTGAATATGCGGGTCGCAGAGGAAACTGTCTTGGATTCACTGTCCATGACGAACGGTTTGTATGGAATGCGGGGGATGCGATGGCTTTCAAATGGACTTTGAAGAAGCGACGATGCAGCGTGACGACGCGCACACGCGCGTCTCTGACTAATCCCATTTGTACCGAGAGGTCACATGCTCCAGGATGGGTTAACATTGCAAGGTAGTCGAGTGTGTTCTGGTGCGTTCAATGGAGTCTGCTCAGTTTCTTTCAGGCTGTCTGTGCCGGATTGATATCAGTTGCGATGCTTACGAAAATCAATTTGTCCAGAATTTTGTCGTTGAAAATCCATCGACATAGACGTTGAGAAGGGAAAGGAATGCACGATCAAGACACGGCGCGTTCGAGAATTGGTAGGAAGAGGAAGTCAATGGTGTCATCGAAGTTTGAGTCACTTGTGGTCCAATAACGCCATGAAATGAGGCAGAAGTCGCCATAGTAGTGAGGAATACTGTAGATTAACACTAGGTCAAGGACACCGGTTAGACTTCTTGCTCATACGCATCTTCCCATACCACATCAGTACCATGATCATCACCTTTTTCACTCTCGTCATCTTCTTCCTCACCTCGTTCTTCTCGAAGTAACCGGGGTACTGGTCGTTGACTTCCAATCCCTCCTCCGTCTTCCTCAAGAACCATCATGCCTTCTCCGTCGCTTTTGTCATCCATAGTATATAAATTTTCCTTGTCGTCGAGGGATGGAGGTGGTCCGTCAACGAAAAGGTCCTTGAGCGCATCGTAATTGATCCGTTTACTGTACTTGGGATTTTTCTTGATAAGATTCCGCACTGATTCGGCTGCCGTATTTCCAGACGGCATCGAGTCGTCGCGAGGTTTAGTGCTAGTTTTGCGACGCTGAAGAATACGAAACGTATCAGTATTGAAATATTCACGAGAAAACTTTCAGGTATGACGTGATACGAACCTTGCGACTTTTAGGTTGATTGACATCAGCTGCTTCGCCCTTGGCTACAAACAAACCGCTCAGTAAAAACATGAATGATTGACAATGAAGAAATCATACCGGCTAACGCCTCTAAGTAGTCTCGATTGATCTCTACCCAAACGCGTTCCTTGATTTTGACCTCTTCTTCGGTGAGGAGAAATTTGTCAAGCTCGTCTTCATCCAGTCCTAGCAAATCATCGACTTCGGCAAACTGGGCCTGTCGGCGCTGTTCAGCTTCGTCCAGAGCGTCACGAAGAAGCGAGCCCTGAGTGTTTTGCAAGAAACTAACAACTTCGTCAGCGAGGGCCTGGTCAACGGTTTCATCGATGGCAGCCGCTGTTGGTGAATCAAGTTCGGGAGATATAATATTTGACGCCGGTCGAAGCGCGGGATCAATATTGGCATAAACTTCCTCGTTTTCGTCTGGGTAAAACAGCGGTGCCGGCCCAGACGTTCCAGCAAGGATACCCTGATTGAACAAGGCTGGGTCGATTATGGGTATCTGAGGTGGGATCTCCTCTAAAGGTGGCACAAATTCCACCCGTTCCCCTTCAGATCCGCTACCTCTCCTTTTCCGTTTGCCTTTCCGCTTCTGTTTCTTGAGTTTGTCTTTCGGCCCATCAAGAGCCTCTTCCCGTTCTTTCTCTTCTTTCTCCTTTCCTTTCGTGAAGGCGGGAGGATCCATCTCTTCATCTAGCCACACTGTTCTGAAGTCGGCAAGCGTGAGGGCTCCGCTAGGAGTCTTCTTGAATTCATCTAATCGTTTTTTCAGTGTGGTATCAGCGATCTTTACCACTTGTACAATCTCCTCGACTGAACGCCGGAAGTTATTCATGCGCGCGGCAAGGAGGAGCGCTGCGCCGCAAATTCCTGCTGGACGACGGCCTCGAGTGACCCAATCACGGTCAAAACGTTGTACGAGTCGAACGGCATCAGTGGCGACTTTGTGAGTTTCTTCGCCAAACTCGAGCAACGCCGCGAAGCGGGAAATGTAATGAGAAGGGTCGACGAGAGGGAGTTTTAAATTTAAAGTCTGAACGAGTTGCAGGTATATGTGGCCCAGCTCAAAGACATTGACCTGGAAAGAAATGATGAGAGATCTAATATTGATAAATACAATTCCTTACCTGTAGCAGGTCTGAGAAGTCTATGAGCATATAATTACGTGTCTCTTTTTGTCTACAGGCAACATATAGACAGACAGCAGCAACATTATTGCTTTTGCGACCCTTGGTAAACTTGTGTTCAACGGCAAGGGTGTAAAGGCGCGTTGCCGCCAAGCAGACAACTTCAGATAGACGTAGAGCGCCAGCAAAGTTCTGAATCTTTCTGCTAGCTAGTGAATCATAAGGTCTGTTATGACTATGATAAAAACAACGACTCACCATTCGCGATAGTTTGCTCGCGAGACTCGTTACTTCCTCTGTTCCCGAATGGACCCGACATGCGAGCATGCGCTGGCAGAGGTAGACTGAGGCTTTGTCCGCAGAACATCTATAAGCAATACTTACTTGAACCCTGACCGACATATGAACCCTGAACCATCGCTGCGCCAGCAGAGGTTTCTCCAAAAGTGACCTCTGAAACTATGGTGTTCTCCTCTACCACCGTTCCGCATTTGACACAAAAGCCATTGCCGGCAGCTGCATCATACTCGATAACAGTCCCTCCGCAATCTGTGCATACAGTCTAAGCGAGGACGGATGAGTCATAGATTGAATGTGGTGATACGAGAACATACCATGATGATCCTCGAAGCTAATGTTATATGTTATGATGAACTTGTAAGGACAATATATATGGGCGGTTAGATGTTCTGCTGTCAATAACGTGTTCCTAATAAAAAATGATAATCTAATGTAACATGATACGGTCGAACGGGTTGTCGTAGATGCTCTTACGAGATCGGTGAGGCTAACTGCCACCGACCGGACTTCCAAATTCAGTGGTCTGCGCTGTTCGCAACAAGTCTAGGGTGTATGTACTATTCCAGTACCGCTTCTTCTGCTGCATTTCGTAGTCGTCAAGTCAGTGAGCTGAGCATATGCAAGAGGCAGCTGCCAACCATGAATTGTTTCACGTATACAGATGTATACGTGGTAAGTACAGTAGTACTTTATTTGCGTGAGACCTTGGCATGAGTGCCAATCATTGCATACTGCACCCGCCAAGCCCACTCTGGACAGCCTTCACCGCCTTTGAGTCGGACATTATTTTAGATCATGATTCCTTGTGAAATTTTTAGATAAGTGACATCCCCAGTCAGGCTGTTACTCCTACGCCGCAGAATCACAGATGATAGATCAGATGCATTTCCTATGCATGCTATATTTGTCTAGGTGTCGTCAAGGTCCTACTACTAGTACTAGTGACATTTATGAGAGCTATCATTGGCGCTTCAAGGCGTGGAGATGCTGTGTGACCAAGGTGTCCTGCCTCTTGGCAGTGGGTCACAAAGTACTTGAACTACCGGCTGTGAGAATGTCCTTGATTGATTCCTCTTTCTGACTTTCATTCTTCTTGACTCTCTGTACCCCGGCAGGACCGCTGTAGCAGTTCGGTCGACCTTCTCTCGTTGTTCTTCTGTCCTTTACTTGCCAAGTTCTTGATCGAATTCTGGCTAATCATATTATCCTAGCGACATTGACATTCATTTATCCGTGATTTCGGTATGATTTTCCAGGTCGGGGAACGAAGCAAGATCTAAAAGGAGTTTAGTTCTATAGCTGGCTATCCATTATGCGCATTAAGCAACTGTGGAATATCATCCCTCTCCCATCCAAGATCAAGTTACTGGTGAGTTCTTGCAGTGATTTTACGGTCAAAATCAATCAGAGGCAACCTGCCACTGAACGAGGTGTCCAGAAGCATTGTAACAATGTTGTCCATACAACTGAGCTGACTCTTCGAAACAGTGGGATCGGATAACTCTTTCACGCACAACTGCTTTTTACTTCGTATTTTCCATTCTTCACTGTGTCCTCCAGATCATCTTTCAAGGGCAAGCCTTTCGTATCAATGTTGGGGCTGCTGAATTCTTGGCTTCGATCACAACACAAGGAGACACCATCGATTCGGACGCATTCTACGTTTTGGGGAGTGACCTTCGTCTTTGCGACAGTATCCCAGCAGACTTCAGCACTAGCTCTTGCCAAATAGTCTGGAATGGCACGACAGTTGGGGACAATTCGGTGGCATCCGCCAATGCAGTGGCATCTACTTCACATTCAACGGGGACGCCAAGTTCCATGGTCTCGACCCTTTTCGCGTCCTCAGGGTCGAAGGTGTCCACTATTTCAATGAGTTCGAGCTATTCTGCGATGTCAAGTTCCACGATCTCGACCTCTTTCACGTCCTCGGAGTCGAAGGTGCTTACCAGTTCAATGAGTTCGAGCTATTCTACGATGTCAACGTTTACGACATCTGCAAGTCCAACAACTACCGCAACTTCGAGTTCAACAACATTCACGGACCTTGTGTCTTCTTCCCATACCGCTACCTCATCGGCGATGGCTTCAAGTGCCACTGATAAGGAGCGCAGAGAGACCGCTGCTGAAATGGTCAGCAATCTCTTTAGGGTAGAAGTCAGCTGACTGAATGCGCCTTTCAACAGCCAAACAGACGCAACCTCATTGGAGATATCCAAGCCGTCGAGGTCAATGGCACTGTACAAGTCATTGCTGAACGGACTTGGCTGGAACAATCAAGCAGTTGTTTTAGATCGACAGTGCCTTTGGGCTCTGAATTACCCAGTTCAAATGTAAGAAGTGTTTCGCCATAGTCTATCACTGCGTATGTAATGTTATCGAAGCCTTCAACAGACCGAGCGGGAGGATTTGACCTTCATCGCTTTTCAAATATGGGTTCTCGGAATGTCTATCGTTGCTGTAAGCAAATTATTATTCTTTCTTCCATTCATTTGTCACAACTGTTGTACTAGGTCCTGAATGAATCTGTCCCTCACACGTGAGTGCTGCACTAATTTGTTTGTCGCGAGAGGTACTCAAAAGATCATAGCATCGCAACTCTTTTGACCCACATGCTGGCCACTGTATGGGCAGGATATCAGATATTTAACACTGCTCAATTTCATGGTGACTTTTCGAGGTTGTCAACGAATGGAGCTTGCAATCCGATCAATCTTTTGCCGTCATATTGGAAAAGTCGCTTTGGTGCTGAAATCGCAAGCCTGGTGCTGAATGTCGTTGCGCTGTTGGTTTCTTCCTTCCTATCGTGGAGGCTTGCCAAGGTGATACAGTCTCGATCCTGGTTTGCAAGTTCACAGCACTCATGTTTTACTTCGATTGCGTCTAGCTCTTTGGCTGGCAGACTTTCAAGCGCGTCGGGGCTTCAATCACTATCAGTCGTGTCTACAAACTTGTGCTGGTGCTCTCGATCGTTATCCAGATGTCGCTCTTTTTCATGGTGGTCGCCATCTCACTTTGGCTTGATCAACTTTGCAATGGCAACATTGGGCGTCTTAACTCTGACCCTGTATATAAACCTTTCCTGATCGTCACTCTCATCGTGAGTGAAAAAATTACGTACCGTCAGAAACATTCATTGACTACGTCTTTGTGTAGCTCTTGCTTCCATGGTTGACCACAGTCAGACTCCACTTTGTGATTGCTTGCACAGTAACTTACACCTCTTGCAGGGCTGGTATGGTGTGCGCCGAGAACTCAAAATACCTATGCTCGTATTTCTTGCGCTCAGTGTCGGATACCTTGCAGGCTGGGCAGCAATGTTCGATTCCACTGCATTCCGGTGGACGTACATGACCTGGACGTTCTTCGGGGTGATGACCACTGCTTCCGTCTCCCTGGCTCTTGTTGCGTTCATCTTGGGTATCATATGTCGTGTTAACTTCGGCAAGGGGCTTATACGCTATCGTGAGTTCGCACTATTCGTTGCTTTCGCCTGTGAGCTTATATGGTTGATACAGTCAATACAGAAGAGCCGATCCCAGAAGACTTTGTACCCGTCAACTACGAAGATGACATAGAGAAGATCGCATTCCCAACGGATGGTATGAGAGTGCCCACATTCTCCACCACGTTCGGCGCGGGACAAGAAGTTTCTCCCTCTCAGATGCTTGCTCCTCCCATGTGGGAGAAGTTCTCCACACCTGAAGGTTCATTCCCGGCCCCGGGAGCTATTCAAGTGCCCCAGGTTGTTTTGGCAAGGTTGCCATCCTCCGGATCCTACAATACCGCTGAACGGCACGTGTCCAACATTAGCACCCATAGTTCAACGAGTACTACTTCAGGACATTCCAAACGCTGGGTCATCGAGTAAATGACACTTGCGATTTGCACAGGCTCTTGGTGTATTCAATTTGTAATAGTAGACTAACTCATGATATCAGTACCACTGGGTGGTCGTTTTTATTTGTGCAATTCATACAAACATTTCACTCACAACTCAGAATTGGTGGTCTTGCAACGCTCGTACGGCCTCCCTTCGGCTCCAATGATAGTCGTCTCTACCTCTACTTGTTGACAATCATACTCTTTGTCAGACAGATAGATTCACTCTGATCATGAGGAGGCATGTCCGTAGTAATTTGAATTCCGCTACGGATAACTCCGCTAGTTATTGGTCACTGCACCCATATCCACTGATTGGACATATACCCCATTTAAATCTCAACACTAGTACTGCTCTGAACGAACGCTACGACGGTCACTGGTTTCAAGTTGGACACCGTGGCAGCCTACTAAGAGTCATTCTCCTCGTTTTCACTCCACTTTTATTAAAGTCCTAACTTATCCAAGACAGCTGGTTCTGACATTGTACCTGACTAGAACTCTCATGGTGGTTAATCGGATGTTCGTATCAACCATCAGTAGGCAAATACATAATACCTTTTCCGCTGCTCAGATCTCAGAGCCAGAGAACTGCGCAAGACTCATCATGATACTGTCACATCTGTCAGTGGTCGCTTCATAGTTTGCCCTGCCGTGCACTGTGTCACCTGCCATGAGGCTGATTCAAGGTTGGTCAAAGTTACACACGGCCTATCACTAATCTTCTCAGACATCGACGTAAAAGATGTTCTCTCCCACTGTATCGATCCGCCTTGCTGGACTGTGCAACTCTATGGATACAACCGGAGGAGCCGCGGCGTTTCCCGTCGGATCCCAAAGGGTGACTCGGACGAGATATAGCGAGTCGACTACCGAAATTACGCGACTGTTGAATTGTTTGTGTTGATGATACAGAAAGCGAACTCTGAATGTCATTTCTGTAGTCGTGCCCCCGTTGTGACGAGCTGCTATTATAGGTTCTTGTCAAGAACCCGACCAACACTTTGAGAATGTGAACTGGATCGCGTTCCTTTTTCGGCCCATTTTTGGAATACCCTCGGACAACCATTATTTGGTGCGGTTGCATACGTAGGTCCATCATATTCTTGCGAAAATCATACTAGGCAGCCTTGTCTTAGTAAGAGGCGAAATCAACCACTGAGCTCAGGTTCGCATCATGCTTCCAACTCTTCTCATCACTCACCATGGCCCATTTCTGCGTCCAGTTGATTTTCTGCGCCTTGCCGTTCATATTTGGAACAATCATGTGCAAGGATTGACGGTCTTTTCTGACATTGACGCATTTCGATAGTGAAACTGGCATCGAAGGTCAGAAGGAACTCTGGAAACGCTGCTGATTCGTGTATGCATCTGACTAGCTAGAAAAATTACGAAAAACATTCGAATGAAGATGTACGAGTATAAGTAAGGCTACATGTTTGCGGAGTGTGAGCTGGAATATCGCAGAGATCGGATGAGCCGCCGGCCGGTATGTGTGAGTGATCGTCATTCATATTCATATTCATATTCAGCGTCGGTTGTGGGCGTTCCCGTTGACAGGGTAGGCGAGGGTATCTGGATGGCCTCGACTTCTTTCTCCTGGATAATCGCAGCTTGCCTTGCAACTGTAGCCATCTCATAATTTTCTTCTGTCGGCAGCTCTACAGGCGGACTAGTCACCAACTCAGTCTCCTCATAACCAAGGAGCGTCTCGCCGAATTGGAGCATCCAGGAGTGGTCCAGTAGTTCGACGGCCGTTGGCCTTCTCATGGCATCAATGATGAGACACTGCTTGATGAAGTTGATACCTAGATCGCTCAGCTGTCCGGGTTCCGGTAGGGGTGGATGTTGCGTAGCCACTCCGATGTGGAACATGACAGCCCTGTTGCATCAACCCCGTCAGATGAATCCTTACATCAGAGGCGAACAATGGCCGTACCATTCATTATCCAAATTGCTCCATGGTTTCTTGCCGGTAGCAAACTCTAGAACCACACATCCGAGCGACCAGACATCCATTGCCCCGTGACGACCTCTCTTATCATTTTTGATAACTTCCGGGGACATATACATGGGCGTTCCCGTTAGGCTGTTCATGCCTAAGCCTCCACCAAAGCCACCGGCTTTCGTAGCATTCCCACCGAAGTCTCCTCTGCGTGAACGTTGCATGGTGCGGTTCTTCACGAGGATTTTGGACGCTCCAAAATCGACGTATTTGATGACACCACGATGATCAAGGAGAATGTCTGTTGAGCGATATAATTGACGTGTAAACGCAGAATGCTAAGACTTACTGTCAGGTTTGATATCTCGATGGACTATTCCTTTCGAATGCAAATATGCAAGTCCCTCCAGCATTTGCATAGTATAGAGTTGTATGATGCTCTCGTCCTCAATTCGCCCATGTTCCAGAAGAGAAGCCAGGCTTCCGCCTTGGCAGTACTCTTCAAAGATGTATACCTTGTCGCGATGCACTTCGATTCCGTAATATTCTACGACGTTGGGATGATGAAGCATCTCCATGACGCTTAGCTCGTCCCTGATTTGCGAGTAGAGGTTTGGAAGCCCAGAAAGCTCTTGAAATTTGATTTCCTTGACAGCCATGAGGGAACCTGAGTCGAGGTTGACTGCGAGATAAACTGAACCAAATGCCCCAGCCCCAATGAACCTCCTTTGTTGCCAGCGAATGGAGATGTTGGAACTTGAAGACGCGAGGAAAACGAGAGACCGATCTTCGGGTTTCTCGTTGTCAAGAACACGACCTACAACCCTTTGGTCTGTGCCAGTCTGTGCTCGACTGCTTTCAAGTGCATGCAACGTTCTTGCCATCTTCTCCCAGAACAGACGCACGTTAGCATCCGTGTATGAGTACATGTTCATGTTGAGGAGGTCATCATTAGCAGGCGATGAAGACCTTGGGAATCCAGGCTCTTCATCGGCAGTTATCGAGGCTTGCTCGCGTAGAAGTCCCTCTTGTCTTTCCTTCTCCTTCCGTGCTTCCAAAGTGGACCGAGCACCAAGAATGTCAAAATGGCTGATGAGGAGCGTCATGCAGGTGGCAACTTTCTGCCGCAGCATTTCGAATTGATCATCTGGCATTTGCAATATATTGTTCCGTCGAGTGCGCTGTAGCGTGAACTCCAATGCATTCACGGCCCATCGAAAAGTTTTCCGATCTGATGGATCGCAGTCATCGCAGATGAACGACACCCAGGAGATGGCGAGTCGTATCAGCAGACGGTTAAACTTGGTGAGAGGCGAACGTTCCATGTACTTCTGAGCATGTTGCCCATGCTCGGAAGCGAATAGATACCAGTTCTCTAGGAGCTCCTGGTATCCAACTGCATTGCGCAGTGAATGTCGAACGTGATGTACAGAATCCACTATTGACTCTGCCAGCTTGTTGGTCGCGCGAGCTATTTTTCGCAGCTCACGGTTGACCGTGGGCAGATGCGCTTGTTGTTCGACGATGCACTGTAGAGGAGTAAGCATCATTTCTAGAGGCTCATCTTCGTCATCGAAGATCTCCGAGAATTGTTCCTTGGCTAGCACAAGCCGCCGGTCGGGTCCATCTGCAACAAGACGCAAGCGGTTGTCCTTCATATCAAGATCCATCCTTGGAAGTTCAAGCATGAACACCAGGCCATTCCACATAAATTGGGTTAGAGGAGATAGGAGGAGAAGATATTCGGCCTCGTCATCATCCTCACTATCCATTATCTCTACGTTATCGACCACGTGAACACCCTCGTCATTCATAGATTCGCTGGCATGGAAAGACTCGAAGAGAATGCGTCGTATGGCTTCTGGGCGGTCGCGCAAAGCACTGGATGCGATGATGTAGATTCCTTCTTCTTCAAACGATCGCGTGTAGACCAAAAAATGATCTGTCGCCACGAGAGCTGCGATGACCTGTTCGATGGGGACGCCTTCCAAGTTGTACTCGGCCGAATTGCAGAATCTTTGGGTCAAGACCCTAAATATGTCCAATATCATCAGTACAGATTCCGTCCCTTCACAACAAGGTTCAACGTACCGAGCAAAACGTTGGAGCTTTCGATAGCGCAACCGGACGTTGTCCAATATTTTGCCATACCAGTTGACCTTCTGCTCGTCAGTCATTTGGCCTGACACATTGTTGGTGATGATATCGGTGTCAAAGATATTCGCAGACCCTCGACGTTGAGGTGCCTTTTTGTCTGCAGAAGGCAATCGGACTTGAGTATCAAAGTAATTTGCAACCCGGACCATGAGCTTGTTTGTCAATGAGCTACAAATATGCCGTTAGTAAAAGGGAACGCGACAGGGATACAAACTGACCAGACTTGTTCGGCAACTAACTGCGGGCCACCAGCAACAGTCATGCTGACATCATTGAAAGTCGCCCACTGAGACTCGATAAAATCCGTCTCTTTAAAGTAAATCCCTTTGACCCCGCTCTTGAGCTTCCAATGTATGAGTCTGAAGAATATAGAGAGCGCTTCAAGTATCGTGGAATCATAGTCATCGCTGATGCATTGGGGCAAATTCCAATTTCCACCTGGATCGGGTGCGAGGAAGGCCTCATATTGCCGCTTAAGCGTGCAGGCAAGACCCAAACTTATCTTTACATCTTCCGTCACTTGGTCAATGATGAGGACTTCTGGATCTTTAAGTTTCTGGACATAGTCCAGCCGAAGGCGGAGACATGCCTGCGCAAGTTTTGTTGGGAAGGAAATGAGTGGGACGAGTTCGTTCTCGAAAGTGGGGAGGTTCATATCTTGAAAAAGGGAGGATAAGTTGACTTGCGCATCTCTAGCGGTGCCGATGAAGGAGTGTACGGTGGTGAGGAAGCCTCTCTCAAATGTTTTCTGGATAGAATCCTCTTTCAGGACTCGCTCTACGAAAGTGGTCCCGTCAGACACATCCGCAGGTCCGTTAGCGTAAGAAGAATACAGGTTGGCGATGTCTGCGGTCGTCTTGGTTACGTCGAGCGTCTCGCTTTCAGTCCACCGTTGGAGTAGTCCAATATGACGCCTCAAAGACAAGAGCACAGTCGACCAAGTGTTAAGCGTATCGCATCGAGCCTGGAAAGATAGCTCGGATGCAACGACGTTATCAGCGTAAAAAGCTTTGAGGGTGGGGTAAAGCGAGTGCGCTGCGTTCAATCGCAGCAGCACAGCGTTGACACGCTTGAGTGCAGTTATGGCATCGCGCTCGTCGTCTGCAAGCCTGAAATGACTGATCTCTTCAATGACAGGATCTACTGTGCGCAACCTCCTCTCCTCAAGACGCTTGCGCTCTTCTTCAAGAGTGCGACCACTGAACTTGGCACGTAGTCCAAGCCATATACTGAGATGAATATTGTTGTGTTCCTCCGATGAGGACTCGAGGGCCACAGCAATCCGTGTCTTCTCTGATTTGAGGACATCACCATCCAAGACGGATGCCAGCATAGTCTGCCACTCCAATCGCTGTCTGTCCTCAACAGTCGCTGGCCGAATTTGTTCCGATTCAAGCATCAAAGCCGTGACGCGGTCTACACTGTCACCCCCCATGAGTGAGGTACGACCTAGGTCTTCATCGTCACTATCTCCTGCATCTACGAGCTGCCCTAAACCTCTCTGAAAGTAGTTACTGTCTGGATCATGCCGAGGATCATCGTCAAGACCTGGTTCGGATCTGTAGCGCTTCACGAATTGAGTGTAGATATCCGAGTACTTAGAGGTGTGAGACAACGAGTTGTGATTGGAATGGGAAGATGCTGAGCCCGACGAGAATGCATTCCTTGGCCTATTCTTTCCTCTGCTGCGCAGAGCCGCACTTGAGGAGGAGTGCATGCTGACTGATGATGAAGGGTGTCTAGATGCGATTGGGGGCTGGGCCCAGTCCACGTCCTCGGCATCGTTTGAGTCATGCTCTTGCAGGGCAAGCAGCGATGGCATATGCTTCCTCATGACCGTAACTGGTGGTCTAAAAGAAAGAAAGCCGCTGCAGCAAGCCAAACTGGGAGTGGTCAGAATAGAGACCTATTACTACTATGTCACTAATATGTTTTCGACAATATAAATGAAATGATAAATATAGCATTCACGTGATTCTTCGAAATCAAAGATCATCTTTGGAATGTTGTGGAGAGCCGTCACCGTCTTCATACTGACACAGACACTTCGTAGATCATTGTCAGGAATCTCAGCTAAAAATGGGTATCGTTGAGAAGGTGAGCTACATGGCGCTTTCTGGTCGATGCTGATTGTCACGGCACTTTCTATATCTTCTAGATCAAGGAAATCGAGGGTGAGTAACATACTACCAGTAGACTTCCATAGATGTTTACTAAACCTGACGTGATACAGAGGAGATGGCTAGGAGTGAGTGCTTCTTCGTCATGTCTGCTGCATCGCACCTGAATGACATGCCTCAGCCCAGAAGAACAAGGTACATATCGAAAAGACAGTACACTAGCTGCGATTGGCAGGCGCTTTGACACCTTCATCCCAAGTAGGCTACAGAATATCACCTGGGTCTTCTGAAAGCAAAGTTAGCTCGGTATCGGGCCCAGCTTCTTGAACCCGCCTCAAAGTCTGGGCCAGCCGGTGTCGGGTTTGACGTGCAGAAATCAGGAGATGCCCGAGTTGCATTGATAGGATTTCCGTCCGTCGGGAAGGTGAGTTAACCCACAGCATACACGAATATTAGCTGAAGGGCTTTAGTCCACCCTCCTCAGTAAATGCACTCACACCGCGTCTGAAACAGCAGCATATGAATTTACAACCCTTACTGTCAGCAACTCTCGCCGAGCATACCCTGCTGATGACTAATTCGTCTGGAACACTCAGGCGATACCTGGAGTGATCGAGTACCAGGGAGCACGCATACAATTGCTCGATCTTCCTGGAATTGTCGAGGGTGCTAGCCAAGGTTTGGGTCCCGTTCTTTCTAAATTACAAATATCATTATTCTGTAGGTCGCGGTCGAGGTCGACAAGTTGTTGCTAGTAAGTACCTTGATTTGTTCAAATGGAAAAATAATAACAAGCATGGCGCAGCGGCGAAGACGGCCGATCTCATTCTCATCATGCTCGACGCAACGAAGTCCGAAGAGCAGCGACGGCTTCTCGAGATCGAACTCGATGCGGTTGGCATCCGCCTTAACAAACGCAAACCTGACGTAGTGTTCAAACGGCGGACAACTGGTGGTGTGAGTAGCTAATGCATTTCTCCTGTCACATTCTGATTATACTTGCAGATAACCGTACGCTGCAGCTACATTCATGCGCCAGTCAAACCCTCAACTAATTATTTAGCTGAATGCTACCGTAAAACTCACCAAGACAGACGAGAAGACTATTCGTACCATTCTGGCGGGATGTATGCGGCCTGGGTTGACTTGCATGTACCTTACTGACCAGACGCAGATAAACTACACAACTGCGATGTGATGATCCGAGAAGATGTATGTCAATAACTCTGTCATTGGCTATCACTCACGATTTCGTTGGAAGATTACAACCGACGAGTTTATCGATGTTCTCATTGGTATGACAGCTGTGTGTACCGAGGCAAATTGCTCATTTGGTTCGGAAACCCACAGGAACTCGAAAATATATACCTTGTTTATGTATGTTCTGTTTGCTTGGTGTAAGGTGCCGCTTAGATCTGACTTCGGACAGATGTTTATAACAAGATTGATGCGATTAGTCTGGAGTTGGTCCGTATAAACCGACCAACTTGACACTGACATCCTGAAGAACCCATGATAATCAGGTAGATAAACTTGCAAGAACGGAGAATACGGTCGTGATCAGTTGCGAGATGGACCTCAAGTGAGTTGACTATCTTTACATAGATCCGTTGTCGAGTCTCACCACTAGTAACCAGTCTGGACTACCTTATCGAGCGGATATGGGAAAGCTTAGAGCTTGTCAAAGTCTACACGAAGAAAAGGGGTGCACGACCCGACTTGTCGGATCCTGTGTGTCTGAGAAAAGGCGCTACTATCGAAGTGTTTAATTTCACTGTCGTTTCATAGACTTTCTTGACATCGCTACAGGACGTCTGTTTGGGTATTCATAAATCGCTTGTCTCGAACTTCCGCAATGGGCTTGTCTGGTGAGTAAACGCGTTTGTCAGCCCACACCTATCCTGAGCTCTCGACAGGGTATATATAATTTTGTTTGCACAATGGATTGTGGCCATTGACTACTCGCATAGGGCCGTTCATCCAAGTTTTCGCCCCACGCACAGAAGGTTAGTTTGAACCATCAGTTGCAAGACGAAGATGTTGTTTCAAGTATGTTCCCTTCTTTGACAGTATCACTGTCGTTGACATTTTACCCTCCATAGTTTTCACGAAGTAGCCACTGGTATGAATTTTGAGAAACAAGCACAAATATATTTGCTCTGGCTGCCGTCGACCTGTCTGCTGCCCATAAGTTGTCGCTTACTAAATTTAAGTTTAACAATCCCCCTGTCCAAAATTTGACCACAGATTGCCTGCACATAACGTCGGCCGATTGCCTACAGTCCAATGATTGGAGTTGTCGTAGTATAGACACCATCACGTTCAGCCGCCTTGGAAGAGCTTGGAAGGCCCGTACTCCGAATTCTGCATGGATCGAGGCCATCCATTCCGCGGACTTATCAGCAGGTCAATGACGTACTAGTACTACCGGGCCTAGGTAGATCGTTCGGGCACCTTTCGTATTAAGGGCGAACGGCATCGGCTAATCATTTAAGTGGCCGATGGCTGTTTTAGCTTGCGTTGGTGATCTTCTGCCAGCAACTTGAAAAGTAAAAATTTGTCACGAACATGACAACTTGCTAGACCCGTTATGAATGTTTTTCATCGTTCAGCGCTCAGCACCGATGTCTAAGGTCCGAGTGTATCTTATCAGCACTAGCCGCGATTACACGTGCCGCCGTAAAGGTCGTGGGTGTCCATGATCGAGATCGACAACGACTCATCGGAGTAAGTTGAAACTCGGAAATTAGGCTCTTACATTGAAAAACGGCGTGCCACCGACCGCAGCCCCTCCTTTCAACTTCCCCCTACCTAGCAGTCCTACAATTAATGGGTTCCATTGTCTCTCCTTCCAATACTCCTCCAATCGAGCTATTATTCCTTGGAACAGGCACTTCCTCCTCGATCCCTCACCTGGACTGCCTGACCGCTCCGCCCAATAGAAAGCCCTGCTTGACCTGCCTCTCCACGCTGACTCCAGAAGGAAAGAAGAATATCAGGCGAAATACATCCGCTGGCTCTCCGCATATCAGGCAAGGACGGCAAGACAACGTAGGTCCACATGACTTTTCTTCCTAACCCCCAAATCATGGACTTGAACTAGAACTGTGGTCATCGATGTAGGCAAAAACTTTCAAGCTGCGGCGGTGGAGTGGTTTCCAAAGTATGGATTGAGGGAGATTGACGCTGTTATCATCACCCACGCACATGCTGATGGTTAGATTTGCTTAATTGAGATGGACGACGGTGCTGATTGTCTTGATAGCCATGAATGGATTGGATGATCTCCGAGGTAAGGATAGGAATGATGACATAGCATCACATGTTCACCGTTGTATCAGGGTGGACGCTCGGAGGCGCCATACAAACTCACATCGATGTCTATGTTTCTCAGTCCACGTTTCATGAAGTCCAAAGATCTTTTCCTTATTTGGTCTCGAAAGAATTCGCATCTGGGGGAGGTGATGTAAGTTTTTATTTCGTTCACTCGGTCATCATATTTGATATGTATTGCCGCGGAAAATAGGTGCCGGATTTTGAATGGCACATCATAGAAGACAAGGTCCCATTTGAAATAAAGGACACGGGTGTCCAGATTACCCCATTCATAGGTTGGTAAATGCTGTGATAGAGCTCTACCATCGATTGACTGGACTGGTTAGTCCATCATGGCAGGTTGTTTGCCACGAATCCTCCCCCAGCCTTTGCACCGACACCATGCACAACTCAGCCGACAACTCCCAATTTGTCGGGGAGGTCATCCCCCGTAAGACCCTTGTCAGGCACCTGCTGCAGTAACGCGCCGCCCAAGATTCATCCGTACTTGTGCTTTGGGTTTTTGATTCAGGACACGATCATCTACATTTCTGACGTATCTTTGATACCCGATGATACTTGGGCCCTCCTAGAATCGGCAAAAAAACCGATGCCAGTGTTGGTGCTCGACTGCTTGCGGCTGAGGTCCCATACGTCCCATATGGGTGTTCGGGAAGCAGTGGCTACGGTGCGAAGGTTGAATCCCAGCCGAACCTATTTGACTGGGTTCAGTCATGATATCTCTCATGATGAATATATAACCATTGGCAAGGCCGCAGGGGGAGACGGCCCTAAAGATACGACTCACATGAGCATTATGGAGCGTCGGGGGACGGAGATGATTCGAGAAGGGAAGCCCGTGTGGATTCGGCCATCTCATGATGGATTGAGGGTATTTGTATCTAGTGATGATTCGGTCATTGACGAGACGTACGACTGAAGTGGATTTTTTGATATCATGTTGTGGGATTCTTCCCATCTCGTCGCATGTAGTTGTACTCTAGATTCGCTGTCTTTTAGACGTGGTGGCGGCCGTTGACGGATTAGGATTTACTTACGTGATGAATGAATCGACACTGCTTTCTGATATACATAGTACCCTTTCACCCACACATCATCCTATAGTTGTGTTGTCCGCTCTCTCTCGACCTGCTCTTCTACCGTGACTTGAATTGAAACCAGTCGTACCGGGATCGTTGACAATGAAGTTCTTTTCTCAATCCTTCTTGTACGAGTGAGTATTTTTCATCACAGGTTTGCCGCTCATATGCTCAAAAATCATGCAGCGATCCCTGGTCCATTGTCTCCCTTGCCTTCTTTTTACGCTATCCTAATCCATACGCTGCCCATGTCATTTCGTGCGATGTTATTGACAGGCACCAGACAGAGTCGGGCTCCTTATTGACAACAAGACTTATATTGAAAAGGGGAGCTTTACCAAGATGGGCTCCTCAAGGAATTGTCTCGAGGGCGGAATCTTGGGTCATCGAGGAGAGCGAAGTGGATCCCTTCGGAAAGTTTGTTCGGTGCAGGACTAAAAACCTTGATCATGTCAAGGTTATGCAAGTCGAGGAAACCCAACTGTTCGAGCAAAATGAAGACGGGTACGTGTCACTTGTCTTACATAGACGAGTTGCACTAATGGCTGTCTCGAGCAGCCGTACTGTGCAGACAACGGAGGCATACATTACCTCCAAATTCGGCTGGGGAATGACGAAACGGATTGAGAGCCATGGACTCGCTCGGTTCAAGGCTCACGTTCAAAGAGTTAGCTTATTTTGCTGTCTTTCTTCCTTACTGTCGTCTGATCTCCTTGTAGTCTCGGCAGGGCGTCTCTCTCATCCTTGACTTAATTCGCCAGGCTCGGTTGCAGCCTATGGCGCTAGGCTCGTATATAACACATCTCCACTCAGAACGTTCTTTCACTTCTACGGATACTCCGGCTTCATCCCACAGCTCAGACAATACTGGGTATGCGCCAGAGGAGTATTCTTCGCCCACGACTGAAAATACTTGGTTGGGCAAAATATGGGGCAGTAGGTGATCAGTCTGCAGTCTTTTTCTATTTACTTGCTCCCTCCTTGACATGTCTTGGTTTTGGTTTTTACCTGTTGCACTCATTGTATCATTAGTGGCATTTACTACCCTCACAAATGTTTTTCACGGATATGTACTACGGGCTGCGTAAGTATGTAAGTGTGTGAGTGTGCATGTGAGGCATTTAAGGGGACAAACTGATTTTCACATCGGCGCCAATGAGACCTACCGTTCCAGCTCACTGCTCGCCTAAATAATTGAGCCCCTCCTCTTTGTCTTGTGGACATTTATTGCTGTCGTCATTCGCATTCTCGAGTCTGAATTCGCGTTCGGTGATACAGTAGCAACCAATGTACTTTCCTACCTCGGCGGCAAGACAGTTGTTGACTGTTCCTGCTCTACCTGATATCACCCCCGAACCTGTGCTCTGCTTCGAAGCTAGTCCGCGCAAGTCACTCTTCTGCTTACTCACAAGGAGTTCTTTGACCGTTTGGCGCGTCCGAGTATGTAGGTTTCAGTGTCATCACATTCTACAACTCAGTGCTATCCATGTTTTATAGCCTTCTGCTCCGCTGGCCCACATCTCGAGGTCAGAAACTTCTCTCATAGAACATGGTGATAATACGGCGGTGACTTGGTCACCAGACGGGAGTAGGATCGTAATTCAGGTCTGCTCTTATTTCTAAGAGAGCGGTCAACTATCCTGCAGACATTGATTTCGTGGTCATAGACTACGATGTCGTATTTGATCCTGGTCACAGTCGATTATGTTCCAGATACATCGGCATACCAGCCATCACACATGGGTCCGAATGTGCAGCGCAACTTCCTGCCGGGTCCAGGAGAGGGCACACCATTACAGTCACTAAGCCTAGCACTGGAAGGCGTGATATGTGCCGAGGGGCAGGTTCTCAGGTCGGCTCGGGCAATTCATATTGGTGCATTTGACTGAGGGTTACTTCAGCGTTTCACCACGTAAAAACTACATCATCTTTTCAACCAGTTCTCCGCCTGCTGTACAACGCATACCATGGCCAGTATACGATGAATCGGAAATCGAGGAGCAGACAGCGCGCAGGTCGCTTATAGGTCATGATACTTGGATTTTGAATGACCATGAGTTGCCTTGGCTTATATACCCTGATGGTAGGTCCCTGGTTTTCTGGTGTTCCTGACGTTACTTACTAGAGCCGAAGTCACTGTCACGAAGATTCTTCACTCGATATCGGGGGTAGAAACCTGGATCACCTCTGATGGGAGAGCATATTTTGTTCGTTTGCAAGAAAATAGGAATTCAGAAAATGTTTCAGAGCTTGACGAGGAAGAGACCGATAAAGTAGGTTGCCCTGTTCTATTACTGTTCAATATCTTAACATAGCTTCTGCACCAGAGTTCAACACCAAACCTAGCTAACGGAACATCCAGACCATCAACTGATAGTTCTGGCTCGCAGTCACACTACCATTGGGAAGGCACGTGTATCCATAACTTTGACGTGCCACGTTGGGTGCAAAAGCAGCGCAGTACCGATGACGGCAGCGGTCTATCGTCGTCAACCTACATCGAACCTCGTCGGGCGGTAGCGATAGATGTCAACACGAGATTTTCACTCGTTGCAGTTGGCACTGAAAGGTTTGCAGTATTCCTCTTATTTGATTCCTCCAACTAATTCCTTGGATTAGTGGTTCCATCGAATTTACAAGTTTTCCGACTCAGGATGAGCTTGCACCCACTCCGAAAGTTGTCGAGATACCAAACCCATATAACCGTTCGAGTGGTTCTGTGACTGCGATGGAGTGGAGTTCGGATGGATATGTGCTAGCTGTTGGGTGGACACATGGCTGGGCAATATTCAGTGTGGGCGGACGATGTCTTGCATCCGGCTTTGGCGTTGAAGATCACATTGATGGGGACAGGTGAGTTCGTGGCTTGACGGGATGTCAGGGCACTTACATTTTGATTTTGCCATAGGTTTCAAGATACCTTCATGCACGCGGTCAAGAACCTTGTCAGTATGATCTGCTATCTACCTTGGAGCACTCTGATTTTAAACCTCGACAGTTCTGGGCACCAGGAAACTTTGAGCTAGTTGTCCTAACTCCCTCCGGAATAAGTGAGTTTGTTCTGCCTGCGATACCAAAATCTCACGCAATGATCATAGAACCGGACGGACAAGTTTTTGTTCTGCCCTTTGCCAAAAGCGCAACGACATGTCAACATTCTCCAGTGAGTTAACGTTGCTACTCGAGGATACAAGATTTATCATACAGTGAGCAGGATAACACTCGTTACGCGTTTCTGCAAATGGATGATCGAGCGCTGGTGTACCGAGGCGCTGAACAGCCCGACATGAGCGTCATCAACCCAGAGTCAGATGTGTGGCAGCACATCAAAGTCAGTATCCTAACCATCACATACATATCGTTAAACTTAGGTATGGCAGATACCTCAATCGTACCTGGCAACAAATTGGCCCATAAAATATTCGGCGCTCAGCAGTGATGGGCGACTGATTGCCATCGCCGGCAGGCGAGGTCTGGTACATTATAGCTCGACATCGGGCAGATGGAAAATATTCTCGAGCATCGCCCAAGAGCAGGCATTTACAGTGAAAGGAGGGCTTCTATGGTTCCACCATGTCCTGATTGCTGCAGTGGAAATTTCCAAGTCGTATCAGGTTTGTGCAAGGGCTCGCTTCTATGTGGAATTCAACTTATTGTACCTCATCAGATACGGCTCTACTCCAGGGACATGGAACTTAGCAATCAAAATGTGCTCCACCGCGAAGTTCTAATGTCGCCCGTAATAATATTGTCGTTGGTCGACAATTCACTACTGGTCTATACTGCCGACAACATGCTCAGTCACTATTTGATCATACCGACTGCTGATACAATCAAGCTGCATCTGTGCGGAAGTATCACATTTGACGGAATCATTGCCTTGCCTAGCGCAGTGAGGGCATTGAGTTGGATGATCCCGACTGCTCAGAGACGTATGTTCATGGGCTTCCAGAGCACTCTTTACTCATCTCTTACATCCAGGACTCGGTGACCCTGTGGATGACCTCGCAGTCGCCACTGTATTAATGGTGGTTGGTGGCCAGTTGGTGCTATTGCGTCCCAGAAAGGTGCGCTATGACGAGACATATAACACAGCAGATTATTAACTTCGCCTTCGAGTCTGGTACCCAGGAGGTGAATTACGACATGCAAATCTTCGCGGACCGCATCGAATTCTGTTGGATACATCTCCGTGGTATTGGTGCACTCGAGAATTCACTCTGGGGTTACGATGGACAGAACATGCGAGTTTGGCTGAATGCACTTGCCATTGAGTCGTCCGGGTCTGCTGATGAACCTTCAAGCGTTAAGGAAAGTGTGAGCATACCATTAGACTTCTACCCTTTGTGTGCGTGTATATTCCTCGTGTCGTTGGGATCATATGGGATGCTGATGGACAAGCAGCTGTTCTCATGGACAAGGGAATCATCATCGGCGCGGAGCACGAGGCCGCAACGAGAATGAACCTCTCATTTGTAATGTTTAGACATGCCACGAGTGTGGGTTTCTTCTCTGACTACTTGTGTCTATACTTACCTGTTTTAAGTCCCATCTTTTTCTGCACCATGTCCTCCGTTATCACTTGGAATCTGGGCAAGTGAAGGAGGCAGTGACGCTCGCCAAACACTACCAGCATCTGGTCTTCTTCGCACATGCATTAGAAATACTGCTACATACAGTCGTGGAGTCTGAGTCCACCGTAGACTCAGAAGATCCTTCGACCAGCACGTCCCCTGAGTCTGGTACACTCGCGGCAGTGATAGAGTTTCTTGATCACTTCGACGCCTCCTTAGACGTCGTCGTCGGATGTGCTCGGAAAACTGAAATGACCAGATGGAAGCGTCTCTTTAGCATTGTCGGGAATCCACATGCACTCTTTGAGGTGAGACACAGTTAAGTTTTGTAGAACGGAAACCCGCTAACTTATCGTAACAGACGTGTTTGGCGTCCAAACGGCTGAAGACAGCAGGTTCATATTTGTTGGTGCTGCATAATCTTGAGCAGCTCGACGA